GTGGGAAGGTAAGCTTTTAGTATGTACCAAGATACGGACGAGCCATATTAACAACTGCCATGCTGATGATAATGTAGTACAAAGAAACAACGCCCTACGCAAATGCAGTGGTATCCAAAAGCTGGTATTAAATGCGAACGCAATAATTCCTCCTCTTTTCCTCCGTTGTAAACGCCGTATTCAATCATACCATATCTTGATCAGAAGCACTCTTGCCTACCTCCCCATCTTCAGGAGGCTGTAGTTTCTGTTCTTCCTTCTCTCCTTCGTCCTTGATTTCCACTACTTCTTTCGAAACACACGGAGCTCCCGTTTCGACATTATGCTTCCTCTTTTGGTTGTTGTATGGGTTCCATCGTGGCACTACGGGTTGTCGCTGTGGTTTGCGATTGTTTGCTTTTGGGTTCTTCGTAATCGATCCATCATCCATGCGCATCCATTCCGTTTCCTCGTTGTCGATATGATCGGAGATATCGGCATCATTCTCATCTTCCCAGATCATGAGGTTAGTGCCATTGATCTCGATTGAGCGGCCACCAGTGCGTGGAACGAAGAAGACCTCTGGGCCCGCCTCGCTAAAGTCTTGTTCCCACGTTTCCTTTTGCTGAAGCTTAAGGATGTAATCCATCGGCAGTGCATATAGAACGTTGTCGTCCTTATCATAAAGCTCTTTGAGCGGATAGTCGAGACAAGCCAACCCAAATTTACAATCAATCCGGCTAGACAGAGGATGTATGCGCCCACCAAAGATCTTGAGTTCGAAAGCGATTCCACTTTCTGTCCACATGTTGTCGCCAAAGAAGACCTCGGGCTCGGAGAGAAGCGGATGATCGTGGTGCGGCCCAGACACTTCACAGAAGTGTGCAACCTCGTGCGCCAAACATGTAGCGAGAAACATGTTGTATCGCAGCACCATCGCTGGCTCCCGATATCGCAGTAAGCTGAGCTTCTTTGCGGTAGTATAGAAGTCTGAATGAAGACAAATACGACTTGTGTGGCATTTGTGATTGATTTTTCGCATCAAGCCTTCCTTATAGTCCTTGACGAGGCCCATTGAGGCGTACGCGGTCTCTGGTGGTAATGGATCATGGTGGAAATAGAAATGAACCGTGTCGATTTGATTGTCCAGGAAACTCTTGAAGGTCACATGATGTTCTTCAGACCACGCTACGTCCTCTTTGATACGAAAACACGGTTGGCCGTACGCTGCCGAAGTCTTCTCGCAATGCTCCCTTTTGCCAAACACCAACGTGTGCCAGAAATGAGCAGTCGCTCGAGATGTCAACATCAGAGTGGCTAGTTGCAAAGCCGGTTTCAAGACCTCATAGATTCCATCCGGACACCCATGCCAGTTCTCTAGGCGGAAGATAGGATGTATGTCGTTGTCCAGTGTGCAAACGGGTGTGGGAGCGTCCTTTCCAAAAGCTACAGCCTGCTTCTTGATCAAGTCTACAGGGTCAAAACCAAGTCTAACAGTTTTCTTCTTATTCGCATCCTTACGATGGCCAAGTAGCCTGCGGTACTTTTCCAGTGCTTTACGATCCTCTATTTGAGCGAGGTGGTGGTTTATCGAGATACTGAGCTGCAATCCGAAATCTTTCGGCACTTCGATCGTAGAAGGAGTGAATGAGAGTGACTTTTGGTAGTTCAACACGTCCGGTAGATCGTGAACCAGCTTATCGATACATTCATCCATTATCTTTCCCTCTTTGAGCTTGTGTAGAAGTACTGCGTTCTCGCCACGATCTTCAGCCCGGAGATCCCCATTGCCACCACCAGGTAGAAGATGGCGCATTTTCTTAGATAGAGCTGGCGGTGGTCCACATTCCGGAGGCGGAGTATTCGATTCTGTAGGTGTCCAATCCATACTGTCCGGGTCTTGTTCCTGGAAAGCAACCTGTGGTGCATTATCTTGGACCGCGTCTTCTTCGTTGAGCTGAACATCCTGGTTCAGACGTTCTTCGATGAGATGTGTTGTGTGTACCATTGCTTCATACGCCTTACGGTATCTAAAGGGGTCCATTCTGATTGGCGTCAGTAACCTGGAAGGGTTGCGTCGGGAAGGTTGGTTGGGAAATCGATCCAATTTGACGCTCAAACGAGCTGCAGACAGCAGGCGACAGCTTCAGGAGTAGACAACAATTAGTCGCAGATGATCTACTCATGAGGCTGCCTTGGTGGTTTGTGATAGGGCGTTGTGTGGCTGCATCAGCCGAGAAACAATGTTTCTTCGTACGTGCCGCAAACAGGTATAATGCGCACTTCGAGCCTGACCGTGTCGCAGGGAAGAGGCAAAGTGTCCAACACCTGCCATCTCACCTATTCTGGCTATGCAGCGTAGGAATGATGTATCGCTTGCTATAGAAGGGAGTCTAGAGTGGGGTATGTCTTACTAAGTCGACGAAGCGGTCAACACCCGCTAAGCGATAGGAAGGGATCTATCCAAAATACAGAGCTAAGATGATGAAAATGAGGGACGAAGGTAGCGTTGAGATCGCGAATCAGCAAGAGGAGGTGTGAGCTGTTTAGCGCTAGTGTGCCAAGAAATAACAGCGCTAGCTTTTCGTCACCGGTTGATCCACTTAACGCCTCTGGACGACACCTGTGCATCTCATCATCTTCCAACTGTAAATGCGCCATCACCTTTCCAATGATTTCGATTCGATATGGGCGAAAGATGGTAGCCATCGCGTTCACTGCTATCGCCCAGGCCTCTCCGCGTACACGCGAGTGACCCGCGTTCCTTCGTCCAGTAACCGAACACGAAACGATATCCCAAGGTTTCGCCAACGTGCGGTACCAAGGACCGCATTCACGGAACCGGCTACAGGAACTCCTCTACGTCAAAGACATCTGCTACTAATCAGATGCTTGCACTCATGTTTTTGTGGGGACCTTAAGGGTCATCACGCTGACAACCACTGTGGAGAGTCCTGGAGTGAACTGATCTCACTCAATTCCTCTACTGTTGCTTCTTCATACAGACTGAGGACGACGTTCAACAATTATTGAGATGAAGGCAAATCCATGCCGTACTGAGAGTCAACAGCAATGTATCAACGAAGAATTTGTCGAACATACCATAATACGATATTGTGGGAGTAACTCTTCGGATTTGACCATACCTAAAGCGGACCTTGCAGTTGCATGGTCTGAAGAATGCTGACTCTTATAAGCTCTGTATGCAAAGAATACGCTGTGAGAATCGCGCATATCTCTCCTCTTATCCGATGTTTCGAACTACACACGAGTACTACTGAGCTGGCTAGCACTCGCAAGAGCATGTCGTTGAAGACTTTACAACTTGAACTCGGGATCTGCACGGCTGAGTCTATGTTAAGATCAGCTTGGTTTTATCATATCGACCTCGATGCATGCCGTAACATGCAACATATTTTGCGAGATGGTTCATCTCACGGAGAAGTGTCGCTTTGAGTGAGGGGTGTGACATGGAGCTTAGGGACCGAGACTCCTGTGTCAGCACAATTCTTGGAGAGATAAGCAACGTACTAATGCATCCAATCGAACATGTGGATAGAGTGTCGTACGCAAGACCATTACACATCGGTCGCTTTCAGATTCGACAGAACAATGGCGGCTTGACATCGGGCGCTTTAAGCTGACAGCATATCGTGTCGCAATTTATGCGGGGTGTTGTCCTCCACCTCCCGAGATCACACTTCCTCACCCGGCTCCGCGCTAGTGTTTAGATCTTAGGCCGAAACCGACTAACTCAATCGGTGTATTTCTGAATCCACCGAGTCAGAAAGCCCCGACGACGATGCATGATCACGATAAAACAACATCGAGATCCACGGGGTGAGGATGCGGTTACGAAGATCATCATATCGAAAATGCTTTCGGGAGCAGCTCTCATCACAGAAGCGGGATCTGGTAGGTCAAGTTCGGCGTTCTATGTAGTACAATCTTTAGCAATATGGTTTGTAGCTAAGAAAAAAACTGACTCGGTGTGGTAGGCTTCGGCCAGAGCGCTGCATACTCGCTGGCTCAGCATGGTGTTCGCCAATTCGCGCTCGTCGACACCAACGAAGCCGGTCTGCAAGAGACCATCCAGAAGCTAGCATCGCAGTATAACGTAACAGACGTGTTGGGCGTGTCTACCGAATGCAGTACCGAAGATGCCGTTGAGGCTGCTGTTCAGCAAGCTGCATCGCGCTTCGGGCGTATCGATTTCGCCATCAACAATGCCGGCTTCGGTGGGCCGATGGGCGGCAGTCCGGACACAGCGCCCGCCGCATTCGAAGCCCATCTCAAAGACCACGTAACACTCTTGTGGTTGTGGCATCGGGCCGAGCTACGGCAGATGCTACGGCAGGAGCCTCGCGATGGGCGGTATGGCCGTGGAAGCATCGTACACGTCTGCTCGGTATATGCCTTCGCTGCCTCGCCGCCTGGGATCGCTGCTGGTGCTTATGTAGCGGGTCGCCACGCTATACTTGGGTTGACACGTTCTGAGGGTGTGCTGTTTGCGCCGCAACAGATTCGCATCAACGCGCTCTGCCCTGGATATATTGCGTCTCCTACCATCGACTCTTCGGAACAGATCAAGGCTTTCATCGGTAACCTTGTACGCGAGCGTGTGCCTGCAGGCCGCTTGGGACAGCCGGAGGAAGTCGCTGATGCAGTGGCGTTTCTGGCCGGGCCCATGAGCAGCTACATGTTTGGTCAGTCACTAGTACTGGATGGGTATGTCGTTTCCAATTTTGACATAATTAAGAGCATGAAATACTAATTAGAAATAGGGGCTACCTGGCTCAATGAGAGCCATGATGCTGTAGTACTCCGACGAATCCGATGAAAAAGTGGAAATATAATGCAAACGTACCTCCGAGTTTGGTCTCAGGACTAATTACCGGCGCGAAATGTGTAGAATGCGAACCTTTTAATGCCCCATGGCGCGCTCGAATCCAAGATAACATATACCACCACTAAAAAATTGCATTGAAGACTCCAAGTCTGGTATGTGTGCAGAACTGTTGCTAAAACGAAGCACTGGTCCCATCGCTATTCAGTAACGAGCGCGCCTTGAGGCGACGAATGCATGCGCGCACTAGACGGAGATTCGCTCGGACAAGTTCGAGACAAGCTGGCGCAAACGCCGATGTGTCGCTGGTCGTGTCGTTATTGCCCTCAGGCGAAGAAGGAACACAGGGAGTTGGCCCAGATGTGACGAGGGCGGCCTCGAGAGAGCCTAACACAGCTGAGAAACCAGTGAGCCGCAATGTCATTAATTCGTTGCTGAGCGCATCGGCTTCGTCTTCCGCGAGATCATAGTTTCCAAGAGAGAACTTCCAGGGCAGAGTCGCATGTCGGCTTTCGCTGGTGCTGGTTGCAGTTGTAGTCGTGTTGGCGTTGCTGGCATCTGTGGAGGTGTCGGCAGGGTCCTCGTCCTTTAGGTTCCATAATCGGCACAGCCAGTCAACCAGATGGGCACATAGAATCGTGACAGCGGTAAGCGGGAGTCGTTGCTGGCGGCACCGTTCGCAGCTCAATACGGTGAGGCAGGGCTGTTCCACTGAAGACGTGACTTGGATTGCGGTTTCGAGCGGCACCTGCGATGATGTGGTAACTTCTTCGACGCGCACAAGCGTTCGTAGCGCAAGAAAGGCACAACCACAGTCAGCGCGATGCATCTTTGCTCGTATCCTCCATTGTCGCGGAGATGGCCACACCTTACCTAATATCGTGAGTCGAGTCAGGGGCCGCGCAAGTGCCAGGAACTAGTGAGCTCGGTGTGTTTTTGAGTTAGGTTCCCGAGGGGGGACCTGCTAAACTAGTAATGGACAAATGCAACCATCATGTCAGCTGTGTAATATCATCCGACATCTGAATCAGGAATGGGTTCATTCGAATGCACGACATGATTAATCCCCCGAAGATAAACAAGGGCCGCAGCTGTCTAACTATGTCATCGTTTACAAAATGGTGTCCTCGCAAGAAGAAGTAATTCGGGATGAGATCACTATCTATATCTCTATGACACTACGTAGTGTTTATTGAAGATCTAGTGAGTGTACAACAGAATCGCGAAATACCCTATCACATAATGGCCGTTTTTGAGAGTCCCGCTATCACCCCAGGCTCCATCGTCCTCGTTACGGGGTCCAACGGCTTCGTCGGTGCTCACGTCGCAGACCAGCTTCTTCAACAAGGCTACAAAGTGCGAGGCACAGTCCGAGACGCGGCTAAGCACCAATGGCTCGCAGATCTTTTCTCGCAAAAGTATGGCAAGGACAAGTTCGACCTCATCACTGTCAAGGACATGAGAGAGCCTGGCGCATTTGATGACGCGGTCTCAGGTATGTTCCCCGCCTCAATGTCGTAATGCTCCAACACTGATGATGTTCCAACATCTAGGTGTTTCCGGTATCGCGCACGTTGCCTCAGTGCGGGATATGCACGTTACACCAGATGAGTTGATTCGAACCACTGTGGCCGGAACATTGAGTTGTTTGCAGGCCGCGGCGAAGGAGCCCAGTGTGAAGCGATTCGTTCTGACGTCTTCTTCGGCTGCGGTTCGCTCGCTGCAAGCATACCGCGGAACCGATACAGTGTCTGCGGATGAGTATGATGAGCAAACACTGGCCTTGTCTAAGAATATCCCCGACACTCTTCCGCCAATGCATAAGTTCATGATCGGCTATTTTGCCTCCAAGGTAGCGGCAGAACAGGCCTTCTGGGAGTGGGTGAAGAACAACAAGCCACACTTCTCTGTCAACGCGGTACTACCTTGCACTATCTACGGAAGTCCATTGAGCGTTACTCACCAGGGCTACCCGTCTACCGCGAGGATCCCGCTCCAGATTTTGAACGGCGATGTCGACTCTATCAAACACGTCCAGCGCTGTACGTGATTTTCGCTCTTTGTTTGTGCAACTCAACCGACGGCTAATACTCGAGCAGTCTACTATGTTCACGTGCAGGACGTCGCACGGCTTCATGTAGCCGGCTTGATCCACCCAACTACCACCGATGAACGCATTTTCGCCTTTGCCGCCCCATACTCCATCAACGATTTCTTTGACATTTTCGCAAAGGCTGTCCCGGGTCACAAAAACCAAGAGAAACTCGTGGGCCTAGATTTTCCGCTGGCCGAAATTGGACCCCGAGCGAAGGCGGAAGCGCTGCTGAAGGACATGGGCCAGCCAGGGTTTGCGGGGTTGGAGGAAACCATCATTAGCAGCATTCAATCTCGTATAAACGCGTCTTCGTAGCTTCAATAAATTCGAATAAACATCCGTACTGCGTTTGAAGGTTGCTTCGCTAGCGAAGTCGGCTTGGTTCGAGCAGATCGAAGCTTGATGTTAGGCTCGTATCCGCATGTCGGTCCTGACCGGGGCGGCCCTAGCGCTGAAGTTAGCGTGCCCCCTAGGAAGCCTCATCGTCAGGACCTCTTCCGACCACAGGCAAGTCTTCCAGATGCACCAACGACGACGCGCGACTATCAACATTTTAACCGACTTTGCCAGAGAAGACTGGACACGCCATGGGCAAGATTTTCACCAAGTCAGCATTTTCACCTCATTGGACACCAACATGTGAATTGCTTCATGCACGTCTCACTAACTGGCAACTTTTCCGAACCCCCAGCACAAGAATTGGAGCATCCCCATGACAACAGCCAGTTACCATAGTTTGACAACTACAAGGAATTATGCTTCGACAGGAAAAGAGAGCTCGGATCGCTTAACAAGACAATGAAACCTCACAGCTTTTACTTCGTTTACGAAGACTCCTCCTTGGCCTCTTCCGCCAATCCTTCGCGCATCGACTTGCTGTTTGGATCGAAGTAGGGCTTCTCTCCAATGCCGCATACGCGGTATCCGAATCGATCACCAAACTCATCGTAATCCATGGTAGCATTGTGCACCATACTGCGGTTATCCCAGATGGCCATGTCATTTGGACCTTGCCACCTGAAGCGACATTGTAGATCGTGGTTGCGGAGTACCATGTCCATCAGCCAGTTCAGGATCATCTCGCTCTCTGGGGGCGTCAGGCCGTTGATAGAACCTGGGTATGCGCCGATGGAGAAGACGCTCTTCCATCCGGTTACGGGGTTGGTGCGGATGACTGGGTGTACTGCCTTTAGAGGGTTGCCAACGTTCTCGGGGTGACCACGGGCGTCGGTGTATACTTGAAGGTTCTTCATCTTGATGATCTTCTCAAAGACTGCGGGGAGACGTGTCAGTGGGTAAGGGGTTCGATAACTTTTGCTTCATCTGACTTACATGGTGCGGTGTAGTTCGCGGTCTTTCCTTCCAGAAGCTTCCGCATTGGCTCACTGATGCGGTCATAGACCTCATATCCAGATGCCCACAATGTGTCTGAGAAGCGGATTAGTATGTGTGTGAAGGCATGTCTTGAGATGGACATACCTCCTCCAACAGAGGGCAGCTCCACGAGCCGTAAGCATGTGTAATCGGAGGGCACTTGTTCAGACTGGATGTCACTGTGCCACGATTCAAGTGCCTGTCTTGCGTTACCTAAATCACGAGGTACAGACTTGCCCTGGGCCATTATCCTCTGCTTGGAGTTGATGGTGCTGATGTGGAGGTCATCGCCACCCAATGCTCTCTGGGGGTTGAGCACGGGGTGGATGTGTAGGGTGGATTCCTTCGGCTTTCCCACCAGCTCGCCCATACGTTGGATCAGTGTCTTTTGGAGATCGTTGGTCATGTTATTCTGGCCTCGGAAGAAGACAACTCCGCGTCGGGAGACTACAGAAGGGATGTCCGTCAGTTCCGTCTTCCCCCAAGGGTGTCAGTTGCATACTTACTTGTGATGGCGAGGTCTCTTAATAGCTCATCCGAGTTAGGCGCATTAAGCATCTCAACGAGATTGGCCTCTGGGAACTCAGTGCCCACAGTAGGCGTCACCATGAATTGCTTCAGAGGCTTGAGAACGCCCTTCAGCTTCAGTGGCTTTGGGAAGCTCGTTTCCTGGGCAAATCCTCTGCGAAGGCATGGTGAGCGAGCTGATTGCAGTACCGTAGAGCGCAGTGCTGGCGCAGCGCGGCATACTAAGGCGTTGGCAGTTCTCGACATTATGGTTGATAAGGAAACTAATCTATAGGAGCAAAGGGCAGCAAGATGCAAATGGTTCTTCACTATTCGGAAGCGATCTCGTCTACTGTAATAATAGATTTCGAGAAAACCCATCCGTTACCGGGAAACCGAAAAGTCGGCGCATTTTGATCTCACCAACGTACTGTCCGGTGCATATGTTCGCGGTGGTACGAGCTGTGCAAAGCGATCTCAAACGTAATGCCTTACGTGGCTGCACGAACATGCTTGTCTCTTCAACGTCGTTCCCGGATAAAGCGTATCCTATACTTATCCGCTAAGGTCTACGGTACTCTCGCAATCACATGAATACAGCAAATTCCTTCAAGGTACGGTTTACCTAGCTATCAGTTAGAACAACCCACCCTCGTAGCTAATACACGAAGACCCATAGTGGTGGGTCACATATGTTGACTCGGGGCATTTGTGGAACATCGGGCCGAGCTACCCAGGTACTCTGCGGGACATTTACGAGTATACTACCGAAGATTGAACAGCCGGATACTCAGTTCTGAAGGTGGTGATGATACACGATGCCAATGCTTCGTTTACTCCCCGAAAGTTCAGTTGCTAAGTCTAATCAGTGAACAATGGTACCGCACAGCTTCAGCCGAACTCTCAGACACCGAGAACAGGTTAGTATACAACGATTGTTTTCGCGTGCATCCGATCACTTCCGTGTATTCAAGAGTTATCTTTCCTATTCATAGTCGAACACTTTCCGCTCAATCTCATGCTGCCATTTTAGAACGTGCATATCTCATTCTACAATCGAGCCTTCTGCTATCTGCCTCCCTCTCCTATCGTAAATCCGGAGAGATAGCGTTCACTTTCCACATATGGCTAAGAAACTTGTCGTCGTTACTGGTGCGACTGGCAACCAGGGCGGCTCTATCGCCCGCGGATTGCTTAAGACAGGAGATTGGCATGTCCGCGCTGTGACCAGGAATCCCAATGGAGAAAAGGCGCAAAAACTTGCTGCAGAGGGTATGGAAGTAGTCCAAGCCAGCTACGAAGACGAGGAGTCCGTCAGGAAGGCATTTGCCGTAAGTCACTTCCTGCTTGCGCCCTGTGACTGATGGGTATCTGACATGAACAGGGTGCTCAAGCCATCTTTGCGGTAACTCAATGGTGGGAAGCTTTCTTCAAAGGCGCCGGCCAGATAGGAGCTGGTGAAGTTGAAGAGCGCCAGGGTATCATGCTTGCGAAGCTGGCGGCTGAAGTACCAACGCTGGAGCATTACATCTGGAGCACACTTCCTGCTGCAGATGTAATCACCAAAGGCAAATACCCCGTTCCTCACTTCGACTACAAGGCGAAGGTCGACGATCACATCCGGAAAAACATGCCAGACTTGGCTGCTAAGACGACCTTTCTCATGTTCGGTTTCTATCCATCCAACTTCGCCTTCTTTGGCATGTTGAAGCCACAACCAGTAGTAAGTCGATGCTTTCGTAACCTCTTCCAATCACAAAACTGATCAACCTGCGATTAGGCCACTGCGCCAGGGACATATGTTTGGATGGTTCCGTCGGATCCGGCGACCGTTTACCCCATGGCCGGCGATATGGCCAAGGACCCTGGTATCTGGGCGCGCCAAATTCTCGCTAACCCTAAGTTAACGCATGGGAAATACGCCGGGGTGTGCACTGAGGTCATCACTCTGGGAGAGGCGTTGAAACAGTGGGAAGTTGTCTCAGGCAAGAAAGGTGTATATGTCGAAGTGAAGCCAGAGGTAATCGGCCAACTATTTGGCCTAGCAGGAGAAGAGGCTGTTACTGGAGTGTTATTTGGCGAGGCAGTGACGGACTGGTTTGGCCACGTCAAAGAACAAGGTCTTTTCGTCACAAAGGAGGAGCTAGGTATCTCCGTGCATGAGGTGTCTAACTTCAAACAAAGTCTTGAGGCGGTTGGACAATTTTTGGGCTGATTGCCACATTAGTAGAATAACAAAGAAAGAATTAGCTATGCCATAATGAGTCTAGCTGAATTGTAAACAACACCATTCGATGTAGCGTTCGACCATTCATTGCTGCTCATGCTTTTATGCACGTTGAGTCGTAATTTCACCAATCTCTTCTACACCAAGTTAAAACATGACTTACATATGACGTGGGGAAGTCAAAGGTTTGGAGAACCTCAAATCGAGCAATCGTGATGGTGCAATCTGGACCATTTGACGGTGAATCTGTGCGTAGGTGGTTGCAACCGAAGAAGGCCCTTTTGGACATATCCTTTCGTCCGCTAGTCTCCACGCGAAACTGCTCATCTACTTAATTGGTTCAACAGATTCATCAAGCGATACCCACCTAGCGTTTGAGGTGGGAGCACAAGGCTCTCTACTAACAATGTGCTCCAAGGAGCTTGCGGGATACGACGGGTTCCGATCGTGTTAGCTAATGGGCCCTCTTGTTACTTCGGCCCGAAGGCTTGTATATACCTTATCTCAAGGACTTGTGGGTGCAACCGAACAAGGCCCTTTTGAAGATATCCCCTCGGATCGCCAGTTTCCACGCAAACCTGCCAGAATAGCATCAGCGCATAGAGATAGCGCACGGATCTGGTAAGTAACATTAGCTGATACCCTGGTGGCCATCCATTTGGTCCAGGTAAAGCGATACTGCAGAACCGACGAGCCACTTACGACATCTGCAGTCCAAATCACACCCATACGGAAGGATACTCGTGGGAAAGAAATATCGCAAAAACGACTAGCTGATGTCTTTGTCTGACGTGATACGTATGCTATAGTTCGAACAGTAAACCCTGCTCTATTCACCGCTGTCTCTGCTTGTTGAGCGAACAGACGTGCCAACCCCCGAACATACCGTTCTTTTTGTCCATCGTACAACATAGTAAACTGCCTATCGTTCATTCTGTTTCCGACGTTTCTGACTTCGGCCATAACTTTGTCTCGGCAAGTTGAAGCAAAGGTTTCCGACTGCAAGCCAAGACTGCTCGTCTCCGGTACTGTACGGTCCGTACATCTCCACCTCAAGATGTGAAAGAACACTAAGAAAACGTGTATATATGGAGATGTTCTTTGCTGGCGGCTTTTGAAGCCGTCACCGAGCCAATGGCGTCCAATAACCAGCCCAACCAAAGTCTAACTCCAGGTTTGCAATAGGATCGTCGCAATACGAGCCCGAGCCCTGCTTCAACCTGGACCCCGCAGACCTTGGCAATCCACCTTGGAAGGTGTGGGACGTGGAAAGTCTGTACCCTAGTCGAGTGCGTGCTACCCGATCGGTACATCCCGTGATTGGGCCGAGCGACCGTTTCCAACACATAGGTACCGTGTAAGACGTGCATCGTTCCGAGCCGTGCGTTAGTGCAAAGTTGATTACATATTGAATGTTGTGCAGTTCCAATGCTGTGGTAAAAGACAAAGGTTTGGTACGGAGACGGCTAGCAAGAGCATGTTTCACCTGCCATGGTATCAAGGAAAACTATTGTAAGTGGGCCACTAGCAAGGGACTGTAGCACCTAATCCTAGCTAGGACGATTACGCCTCAGTATGTAACCTTGGAACGTTGTAACGCGTCGGTTCCTTCCGAAGTGTCCCCAGATCGCGAGATCCCAGCGCCACATGCGAAACTCTTGCCTCCCACCACCGCCGTACCTAGGTAGTTCGAGATCGAATAGCTAACACGTAGCTGCATAGCGAGATTAATGGTATCAGCGCTTGCTGTCAGCCAGAAACCATTCCGAAGTCCCTCCATATTGTCAGGTTTTAGCGTCTCCACACACGACAGTTTGGCCTGAGACGATGGTGAGTACATGTACCGCGATATCGCCATTACCTACTAGCTGTCAATCAATATATCAACGTCAAATTAAATATGCAAGAAAAAGATTCAAGTGCAAAGGGCAACGTCCCAGTGCCAAAACCCACAAAGTACCGCCTCGCATGTGACAGCTGCCAACACTCCAAGATCCGATGCGACCAGGAACGGCCAAAATGTCGCAGATGTGCAAAGAAGGGCATAGAGTGTGTCTACAGCCCAGCACGACGTGCTGGACGACCACGCACTCGCAACAACAGCAAGAGCACATCTAGCATTGAGAGCAGTGCAACATCGAGCTTGAAAGGGTATTTGACACCCGTGACGGAGCACGGCATCACCATCCCAGCCGTAGGTCAGACGTCGCCCTTTGGTCCACCTAGCATGCTATCCGCCTCCGAAGACTGCTCCAGCTCCAGCTCCAGCTCCAACACATCCACTATCCCTAGCATAGCGCAGACTATGCCACTCCCGAGTCCCGACGATATGGACTTCTCCTCGTATCCACGGTCAGACGGCGACTTCATGCAAGGTATTCCGGACTTCACGGGTTCACAATGCGGCACACCGAAACAAACTACCAATTGCTATTACGCCATGTCTCCCGAGTTCCACATCGCTCCAGAGCTTCTCAATATAGGCTTCTGCGGACCACCATGGGAGCAGCAACACGATCAGGAACAACACCAATCCCTCTCTACGCCCATGCTCTTCGACGAAGGACTACCGTACTTTGGTTTACTTACCCCGGACGGTCACCAACCTCGGCATCTAGATCAGCATCAGAACGACATACCGATACCGACCACGAGCAGCAGTGAAATCGAAAATGGCAGCTATGCGACCCATCCGCAACAGCAAGTACATCCACAGTGTCCACAGTCTTTTGACCAAACCACTCCTTCGACGAAATCATGCAACTGCGTTTCCAACCTTCTTGATTACCTATCTACGCCTTCTCACGGACCCTCCTCGTCACCCCTCACCTCCACGTCAACCGCCCTGTCAACGTCCAGAACCCTCATTACATGCTGTTATACTACGATAATCTGCGCCAACGAGTGCTCTACACGCCCTTCAACTGCGCTCCTCATTTGCGAAGCCATTGACCGGGCGCTTGTGTCGCTCAAACTGGGCGGCAACTCCCTCTGGACACCCACAATGACACCTAACCCAAATCATGATAATCGGGGATCTTCATCACCATCGTCTTTATCTAGCATAAGCGACGGTAATGGTAACGATCTCATGCTGCCATCATCCGTGGTAGACGAGGAGTGCGAACCGCTGCGTTGTGGATCACTGCCGATCCAGGGTGCCGACAGGCGGGCTGTAGTGCGTGTGCTACTAGTGAAGCGGGTACTGGAAGCACAACGGGTGCTGGAGCGGCTACGGGATGCCTTGCTATCAGGGCTGTCAATCGGTGGGGACGTAGCAGTGAAGAACCCACTGCTAGCACTATGTGCAGATGTTGTGGGGGAGTTCACGAAGAAGGTGGCGGAAAGGGCGGAGACTGTTAGGTTGAAGATGTAGCAAGAAAGGGTCCAGAATGGAGGTATAGGGGGTCTACAAATTTTAGCGATAGTTCGGCTTGTTTTCTATCTCGGGGAATACTACTCGAGTCAATCAACGACATGATCGCACGGTGGTTTCCACTCCTCATGCTCGCGACCATCGCTAAACTCCACATGATCTTCCGGAACCACAATCTCGGCCACCGATCATGCAAGCAGCTCTCGATAACATACAATGTACCGATCGCAACACGGGTAACGTCGATCTGAAACCTTGCTGCCGCGCTCTCTTGTATAAGTTGATCCCTTTGTCACAACTTGTTGCATCTATCCATCCAGCGACCTGCATATACATCTATTAGCAAGGAAACATTATCATGTCTGCCATACCATTCCTTTCTGAATCTTTGAACACAGACCCCGGAGAGGGTGTCGCGGCCGATACTATCCTTGAAGCTCTCGAATCTCTTGCCTCTGGCAACATCCCAGCTCCCCTTCGTGACGATGAGGAAAGGCGGCTCCGATTCTTAGAGGCTGCCAGAATGGCCTCTCTTAAGCTCGAGCAGCCGTGGGACACCATGCAGCGATTGATCTTTTGTGCACTACCGCCCAACATGGTGCAAGTTGGTATTGATCTTGGGCTGTGGAGGCTACTCACTAAGCGAGAGGGTGCAGTGATGAGTGTGAGTGAGATGGCTGTGGAGTTGGGTGCGGAAAAAGCACTGTTAGTGCGAGTGTTGCGGTGGGCTGCGACGCAATGGATGGTGGAGCAGGTTGGCGTCGAGACGTACCGTGCAACAAACATTACGCGATATCTTTCCATGTCAGGGCTAGAGTCTGTCATATTCCATGTGTGAGTACTCCGTGTCTGGTCTTGACAATCACAGCTGACTCTCTTTGCAGAACAGAAAGGAATATTGCACTTTACAACGCGATACCAAAGTGGCTAGCCGACAATTCCTACCAGCAACCGCAAGACAATAAGAACCTTCCATTCAACTTAAGTAAAAACACCGACCTACACTTTTTTGAATGGTTGTCGCGGCGACCACGCCACCAACAGGCATTCAACGAGTACATGTCCTTTCAGCGGGTAGGGCAAAAGAGCTGGCTCGATGTGTTCCCACTCGAAAAGTACGTGCACGCCTCGAGCGCGGGTGTTGAGCACCGAAAGCTTTTCGTGGACGTCGGTGGTGGCTACGGGCACCAGTCTAGAGAGGTTATCAGGAGATTTCCTTGGGTGCAAGGACGTGTTGTGCTACAGGATACACACGCGGCTGCTATCGACTCTGCCAAGGGTATCGAAGGCTTGGAGGTCGTTCATCATGACTTCAATAAGGTGCAACCAGTCAAGGGCGCGTGCGTTTACTACCTGCGCAACATCTTGCATGACTGGCCCGATCAGGTCTGTCTTAACATCCTGTCACAACTGAAGGATGCACTGGCTCCTGACTCGGTCATCCTGCTTGACGAGCTCACCCTTGGGGACGAGAGCACACACTGGTACGGAGCCTCTTTTGATCTACTGATGATGGCAAATTATGGGGCTCGAGAGAGGTCACTGGCGGAGTGGGATCGTATTCTCGAGAAGGTTGGGCTGGAACGGAAAACGTTTGTGCCGTACAGCATGCATGGAGATGGCATCCAGGTAGTGGGTGCTCGAGCAACGGTTCACGAAAGATTATAAGCGTGTTTGGTTTTGCTTTTGGTTTTCAGTGCACAGGAGCAGCGTGTGATATATATTGCTCTTCCTTGAGCTCTTAAATTGTAAATTTGTTGACTGCCACGAGTGTCTCCTGCTAGAGTTATGGTATTTCCTGGCCAAAGCTTCCTTTCATTGATTGGCCTAATCGGCTTCACATGTGGAGCTTCAGTCCGAAAACACAACTGCCGCTCTCGAAAGTTCTCGTGTCCTAACTAGCGGTTGGCACCATCGGCGGATTCCCTTGTAGTTTTGCTCAACGTTGAAAAATGCCAGTTTCCATTTTAAGACGTCTGAGCGAATGTAGACATGTTGTTCCAAAGTTGATGCTGGATGAGGCGGCTCGGTGGATTTTGGTATTACCCGACTTGCCAAATTGGTCCGCGATAATCACCAACACAGGAACAAAGTTTGACCAGAGAAGCTAGACTCGTACGTAAGCAGTTACGCGACCTAATTTCCCGTTTCAGTATACCATTACCATAGATATATTGTACGGGCGAAGATAGAACTCGTCAACACACACTTATTCTTCATCCTCAATACCATGGCAAGCAACTTCAAGATTGAGCCTCTGGCTCATCCTTCGGGGAAGACATGCAAGGTACGTGTTGACCAGAGATTGGAGTCATCCTTACTGTTCTCCACTTACAATATTGCACTTAGTTCGGAGCTGTCGTCACTGGCCTCGATTTAAACCAGTTTACAGACGAAACGGCAGTGCAGTTGCAGAAAGCGGCCTGGGAGCACAAGCTTCTTATCATCAAAGGCCAAAAGGACCTGGAACCGAAGCGTGGCTGGGAGTTACTGCAGAAGCTTGATCCAGACTCCAAGAAGATAGATAACACCACGTTCGCCAGGGCATTTTACCCAAAAGATGGCATAGTGGCAGCCATCAACTATGTCGAAGTTCCGGAAGCGGGTGCTTTCGTGTTCATCGGCAAAGGCCCCCAAGACGACCCAAAATACGGCAAGCCTGGTCTTAACATGGGCGATACCAACTTCAACCAGTACTACCAGAAGCCGCTCGCGGATGCAGACTTTGAAGCCGGGAAGGCCCGCTTCCATTGGTGGCATGTGGATGGTACCTACTGGAAGTATGATCCCCCGACCTTCACCATGCTCCGGCCTATTAAGTTCCCAACGGAAGGCAAGAGCACGCAGACAGTGGTGTGGGCTGACGGCTCTGGTCAGAGCATGGAAGTCAAGCCAGGACGAACAGCGTTTGTAGATGTCGAGCAATTGTATGATATGCTGAGCGATGACGAGAAGAAGACGGTGGACCACAGCTGGGTTGAGTACATGTATTGGCCTTATGAAAAGATCAAGGGCTGCCGTGGTGCTCCAAATGGCCTAGGCGTCGCAAATGAGGGCAGGGAACTGCCGGACGAAGAGTTAGAGGCGCATGAGGAAGGAAGCAAAGATTGGCAGAAAAAGGTATGGTCAACCTGGGAACATACGCAATCAGTCTGATACTAACGCAACCGTAGCTTCCGTTGGTCTGGGTCAACCCCGTCACCGGTAAGAAGTCATTCCAAGTGCAGCATAACCTTGCCCATAGGCTGTTCATCCGTAACGGCCCGAATGACACACCCAAGGTCATTGATGACTTGGGTGAGGTCAGGAAGTTCTTGGATAACATCCAAGGAAGGATGATTAAGCCCGAACACATCTGGGTGGGTCCCGAGGAAGAGCACGATATCCTCCTCTTCCAGAACTACGGCCTCTTCCACACCAAGATCGATTACCCAGCCAGTTGGGGTGTCAGGACGGTGCATCAGGGTTGGTTGCCTGGTGGCAAGCCACCTGCCGGGCCAGTGCCAATTCCAGAAGCTTAGGTATCATGATTCAACACATTGTTATGCATGTGCGCACAACAAGACATGGTTCTGATGCTCTTCGATACGACCCCCTCTTCATGGCATTGTGGATCATTCTTCCTTCCGCCTCCTTCCGTGGGATCGCTCTGTCCGTTGTCTCGTCTATGCCGGCGATCTAATTGAGGCTCATTACATGGGCTGGTTTACGCATCTGTACGGCCCGACTGGGGGCATGGCGAAATATATTGTCGGTTGCGGGTAGAGGCGCGTTGTTCGTCGCGAGTCGCGTTGGACAAGGGCAACGATCGTGGGACATCCGGATGCCAAGGCGCTAATCAGGGTTGCGTCATTGTTGAATACCGATAGCCAGGTAACGCAACGAGCGAACCTCCGAGCATTGATCTAACTTACTATTAGGTATCCACTATACTACTAAAGATAGGGCTTTCAATAGAAGGAGGTTAGGATAGAAAATACATATACTATTTATTAATGTAGGCTTCACCTATACGTACTTTTGGCTGCCACTGACGAAATCCAGAATGTGATTGGAGGTAGCAAATTCAAACCTCGATCTGATATCAACTACATCGATCAGAGTGACATCAGCAACTTGACTGCACAACTGGGTCTTGAAAAGAAGCAAGCTGGCTGCGGTGGTCGCCCGAGCGGTGTCAGCGGAATTGCCATCTGCGGCCCTGATTTTGTCAACATGGGAGACAAGGGTTAGGGACCTGCACTTGCAGTAATGCCTCAATGGAACCACGCCTGACTCAACGATTTCGAAAGGCCCTGCTACCCCGAGAGTACCGCTGATGCGAATGGGGACGGCCCAGCCCCAGGCGTCTCGGCAGATGCCTCAGATGGCGTTGCTGTTGGTAGGTGTCGCGGCGATTCAATTCTCTCCATGACGAGGAGTCTAATCGACAATGACAGGGAGTAAACGTCGCGATCCCAACGGCGGTAAACTCTACAGCGGTCCTCTGATGAGAAGCGTTCCGTTCCCTGTGTACGTCGACGGCGTCTACTGTCCAGGCGACACAACCTGGCGCATCGTCTACAGTCTGTATTATCCCAACAACTACAACCACCGACACGACTGGAAGCGTGCCATAGTCGTCTTTGGCAAAACCCAAGGCGATTGGTGGGAGTGCAAGGCACTTCTCATTGCTCAGCACAGCGGGTACAATAAGCTGCGCTGAGACCAAGCGACAGCGCACAACGATCCGTACTCTGGCAGTCCTGATCACGATAAGAAAGGAGCTCATCCTAAATTATTCCCCGGAATGTACCACCACGCAGCAAATATGTTATGTCGTAGATGAGGTGTGTGTGCTAAGTAAATCGCATAGACGTTCAATGAGGCAAAGACTTCCTGTCTCGGGCCTGGCTGCGATTACTCTCCAGTCATCTACAATGAATACCGCCGTAACAACTCGCAGTACTCTCCAGTGTTGGGCGATATCAGAAATGGTGTAGTAGATGTTCCTCAGGCTTGAGGCGATTATGAAGGCAAGACGCCGCCATGGAAGATTGTACCTCAGGTATGCGGTATGAGCTCGCCTTAATCGAAGCAGAGAAATGTCTCAGAAAATATCTTGTGAATAAGCAAGTAGCTTTCTCGTACAAGTACATCTACTTACGTTTATCAAGTAGATATTATGTCTAGGTTTTACTGAAGAACGCTCATTATGAAACACATAATGTATCACATAGTACAGCGAGACTAAAATTAACCTACAACTCATCCATTAGCGTACGCTCGCCTACGGCACGCTCTTGGATTTGCATTACTGCAACGGTGACTCGCGATAGAGGGCACTGTTATGTAATCGTAGTTCATCACAGACACATTGCGATCTTGCAGCAGTCCGTCGCAATGTCGGATGATCGTGATGTCAGATCTTCTACCCGGCTATCCAGACATGATATGTACATAGTCCAGCAGCGATTCCCAAATCGCCGGGCCTGTCGCAGGACGGCAGACAGGCAGGCATGGGCAGATAGGAAGCAGAACATTTGGCAAAGATGACGAGGGTGGAGTGGATAGACTCAGAGCAGCAGCGTACCAGGCGGCAACGTTGGGTAGCACATGAGGTGGAACAGCGGAGTAGTGAGGTCGAGTTGATGGGGCTGGCGAGCTGAGTGCTCTTTTGCGGGGCGTTGGGAGAAGGGGGAGCCGGGAATCAATTACATGGCTGTGAGTATGAGGAACCAGATGGGGTGCAGGCGAGGCATGAACGGTTAGAGGTAGTCGAGCTGCAGTGCTCCTTTCATGTTGTTACGAGTGTAGGTTGAATCAAGCGACGAGTTTGAGTATCAAGGGTACTGAATCTCGAAGGGGGCTGAGTGCGAGTTCAAAGAGGTGTCAAGTGAGATCTTTTTTGTTGGCATTACTGCAGGAAGGTTGTAGGCATGGGAGCTGTTTTAGGAGGCAACGCGGGCAGATGGAGACATGGCAAGAGAAGGGTAATGAAGGAACAGAGAGTTCTTCTCGCGAGAGCAGTGCGATGAGACTTGTAAGAAGAGAAGGCGGGTCAAGATCGAGCGGAAGTGACGGGTTCCAGGGCTGAATTACCTACTTGGGCGACAACGACGGACACGACCGTTCGGTACTATCAACATTGGCGTTTTGAGAGACCAAGCTTCCTCCTCGCGCTATTCTTCATGCGCCAACATATGCTGTGGCCCTGGAATAGATCACGCTCGAAAGAGCTTTGCATGGTATCGTAGACGGCAGCGCGCAAGAGGGAAAATAGATGCTGATCGGATCGCTATGGCCGCTCTCAGAGGTGAATTCGTAGGTCCGAGAATATGCCAGAAAGACTTGCAATTGTGGAACTCGTGAACGGAAACCAAGTGTCACTTTGACCTCATCTTCCAGCTCGCCTGCCGCAACGAATATATGCCTCGGATAACCGCAACATTGCACGTTCGCATCCCGGTTAAGAACTGTGACGCGCATGTGCGCAATGCAACGCTGCGGCCAAAGACCTCCATGTCTGTATTGCAAACAGTAAAGCTTAGCACTGTATGAAGAAATTGGCGACACATAGAATCCACTTTGGACCGACGTAGTGCATCAAGAATTTTCAGCAATGCAATAGTGCAGCCGTTGAACGGCCGGCTATCCTTGTATTAGCTAAAAACATCTCGCCTAGCTGTCGCTTTCAGGTAAGACCAACGCGATGCTCCGCAAGGATCTGCACGCCTAGTCAGGCCGAATGCTTCCCGAATGCTTCACGTTACACCCCCAGAACATCGTGAGCAGCAAGTGGCGCGCTCAGACTCTGCACCGCTGGAAGACGATGCCGACCTGTGCGCTGGGTCTCCACGTGTCGAGATAACGATATCCTGTTAGTTGTGTCAATTCCATTACTTTTGGCGAGCTTGCGGGGAATCTGCCTTCATATATGTACCATGGGGCATCTTGCACTATGTGGAGAGGGACTGGTGTCTTGTTCAATTTCCTTGTCTGCTCTTATTCATTTCATCACTTATGCTCCTTGAAATCTGAGCTGAAAATCTCTTTAATCCCTAATTGCCGTCATCTGTCACCTTCTCTCCTTTCAACCTCGACATGTCCGACCACATCTCGTCGACACGACGCAAGAATGACAAGAACGATGACGATTCCAATCTAGCTGACAACCAATTATTCGGCGAGGGCGAGGTCTGGGAGTCGCAACGTGCCAAACAAATCGCCAAAGACGGAGATGCTCACTTCCATCGTCTGGGATGGAAGCGCCTCGCAGTTGTCACCATCGTTGAGGCCATCGCCCTTGGCGCGCTTTCTTTGCCCCAGGCCTACGCAACTCTCGGCATGGTTCCAGGCGTTCTGCTCACTGTCGGACTTGGCTGCGTTGCCATCTTTACCAGCTACATTGTTGGTCAGGTGAAGCTGAAGTTCCCAGAGGTCGCGTCCTACGCCGATGCAGGCCGCCTTCTGCTCGGCCGTTTCGGCTACGAACTCTTCGGTGCTGCGCTGGTGCTCGAACTGGTCATGGTTGTTGGTTCGCACGCGTTGACCGGCAGTATCGCGCTCATCAACATCAACGGTGGCCATGTCTGTTCCATCGTGTTCTCCGTTGTTTCCGCCATCATCTTGCTCATTCTCGCCATTCCGCCCTCCTTCTCTGAAGTCGCCATCCTTGGATACATTGATTTTGCCTCCATCCTAATCGCAATCGGCATCACCATCATCGCAACCGGTGTCCAAGCTGGTGACAAGGCTGGCGGCATGTCTGCTGTTGACTGGTCTGCCTGGCCCAAAGAAGACTTGACTTTTTCGGAAGCCTTCGTCGCTGTCTCCAACGTCATCTTCGCTTTCAGCTTTGCCATCGGACAATTCAGCTTCATGGACGAAATGCATACGCCACAAGAATATATGAAATCTATTTGGGCATCTGGCGTCATTCAAATCTGCATCTACACGCTTACCGGAGCGTTATGCTACGCTTTCATTGGCAAAGATGTCGATTCCCCAGCACTCCTCTCTGCTGGTACGCTCGTCTCGAAAATTGCATTTGGCATTGCGCTCCCTGTCATCTTCATTTCCGGTAGCATCAACACTACCGTCGCCCTGCGCTATATCCACGGCCGTATGTTCAAGAACTCGGTGTTGAAGTATATCAACACGGTCGCCGGTTGGGCTTCCTGGATTGTACTGGTCACCATTTTCACCATCATTGCGTGGGTTATTGCCGAAGCCATTCCTATATTTTCTGATCTGCTATCCCTCGCCTCTGCGCTGTTTGTCTCCGGCTTCTCATTCTGGATTCCCGCAGTGATGTGGTACTGTCTCCTTCGCAAGGGCAGCCCCTTTGCGAGAGAAAATCTGTTGATGAGCGCGGCCTGCTTGTTGGCGTTCATCATTGGGATCGTAACGCTGGGTGCCGGGTCTTACGCAACGATTGCGGACATAATCAAACTTACCACAACTGGAACCGCGCATAAGCCGTTCACTTGCCGCTCTGCATAGATTTTGTATATATACTCAAATAGCTTCTTCTCGAACTAGGCTATATTTCCTACTTCAATTCAATTTGCCCGTGGTGACAGCTTTGTGAAGTACCTTAATTCGATGTGTATTCTTGTCAAACAAATAATGCACTACGTCACGACGTCGGTCATCAGAAACAGTCAGGCAACACACAACGCTCGGATAACAACACTAACGGGACGACAGCATGCTGTCTTGAATTCTGCTACTCTTTAGTGCCTAGCTTTGAGTCTTTAGCGCGCTCTTCGCAGCTACCATCTGGCCAATTCTCAGTAGCGTTGCTCCACCCAGAATGTCGAATACAGCGAGGTTAGCGCCCGACTCCTTTGACAACCAATTCTGTAGCTCCAGGCCAACCAAGGAATCAAAACCGTAGCTGTCTAGTGCATAATTCATACTAATCAGATCCGCTGGTAATCCGAGTACACGGCTGGCCTTCATCTTCAGCGCTTCCGCGACGATCGATGCCGCCGCATCTTCTGAGGTCGCTTCCGTAAATGCCGACCAGAACGTGCGTATATGTGACGCTAGGTTCTCGCTACGCTCGAGTGTACATTCTGCTTGTCGCATATTCCAAAAGAAAGGCTGCTCCATTGCGCTGGGTACATCTCGTCCTTTTGACTCGATGTCGGCTGGCAACTCAAATCCAGTGACAATCTGGCTTCGAAAGGGTCTGCTGGGAGGCAATTCGGGGTTACAAACGTAGTCGAGAAGGGCGAGGACCTCTCTTGTCGAGAGTGGACGGAAAAGGTTAAGCATTGTCAGACGATCCATCACTACCTGGTTCTCAGCGACGTAGCCCTCACTCGTCACGATGCCGAGGTCAATGCTGGACGCTTTCTCGCCTATTGATACTCGATATCGTGCAAGTGCGTCCTGATATATGTTTCCGGCGCAATAACTAGACTGGCCAACATCTCCAAAGATGCCCACCATGGATGAGAGCATGACGAAGAAATGCATTCCTGTAGGAAATGATTCGTGGATCTCAAAATCGGGAATATCTTCGCTAATATAGGAGATATTCTAGATTTCGAGATCCCAAGGTGGAGACCCATTTACTAGCCTAGGAAGCCTAAGGAAAGTGAGAGGGCCCCCATTTTGCGACTATGTACCCACTGGGACTTTCAAAACAGCGTTAACTTTTGCATGGAGTATCGTTCATTATGCTACCATATACCAGAATTAGTCAACGAAATAGGTATTCAGTATAGCTTGGCAGGCTGTAGTCCTAAAACGGCTTCACGTAGACAACCGTCACAGTATTCACTTGACATACTGTGTAGAACGCGTCTTCTCCGATAACCTGCAGCAATCTCCTCGAGTTTCAATTTCCTACTTTCGGTGCTCACCGTGAGCAACCAGAGGGGTACCTAGGTATCTACATTTGGGATTGCATACTCAGACACCTTTGCTTGTCTATTAATACTGCTTGATGCACGACTCAGATTACTAATTATCCGCTTTCATGGAAACTAGAGGTGCCTAGACTTTCAATGGTCTGAATCAATTTGTATTGCTCTATGTTAAACAGAAGCTATCGATCACCTTGACTTCCCCATATTCTGTCATAAGTTCGTTATTCTCGAGATACTCTTATCTATAAGGCAACTCTCGTATGCATGCATAGGAGCTGATAAAGCCGCAAATGGCTCGTCATCTTTGCATCCTTACAGTATCATGTCCTGTCACAGGATGAGTCTTCTTAACGGTTCGACCAAGAGTCTTTCACGTCGGCGATTCTCAAATTTACATCTTTGCCATCAGCAGCTCACCCACCAAACCAGTCACCAGTACCCCACTGACCCACCACTGACTGTACACGAAGAAGTTCCTACACGCTTTCGGGTCCCACACGTCGAGCCGGGCCAACATGAATAAGGCGGCAAAAGAAGATACACCGGCACCAACCTGGAACGGGCCGCGCGTGAGACCGCCCCACGACACGGTGGCCCACAAGAAGCCGGCCATGGCGCTTGCGATCGATAGCAGAAACACCTTAGGGTAGTGCCGCACGGCAATAGCCAACGAGCCCACACCAGCGTTGAGGTCATCTCTGATGTCTTGGAAGGCGTAAACCGTATCATAAGTGATGTTGAAGAGAGTTTGACAGGCCCACATAGCCATCATAGCCTTGCTGCGATCCTCGATATCGAGCATGGGAACCGGCGCAGCTGGATAGGGTCCATCAACGACGGCAGCGTCAACCAAGAAGACCGCCCAGCCCACGCCCGCACCCAGGCAGAGCTGTGGGAAGTTGCCGAAGCGCTTCATGAAGGGGTAGAAGAGGGCGAGGATAGTTGTGAGGAGTGCCTGCTGACCAGCTCGGGCTGGTAGTGTAGCGTAAAACAGGACGTGGCGCGAGATGGCGAGGACGAGAGTCGTGAAGAGGGCGTCTGGTGTCGATAAGGCACCGCGGGCAAGCGGCCGCTTCTTGCAGCGCTCGACTTGTCGATCGAGGTCTTGGTCGACAGTGTCGTTCCACGCGCAGCCGAAGCTGCGTAAGATGAGGCCGTCGAGCAGGAAGACAGCGCTTAGCCTGGCCCAGTCGGCTGGAGAGAGGGCTTTCGGGTTGGTCAAGTTGACTGAGTAGAGGAAGCTAACAAAGTAGGGAAAGTAGACGCCCAAAAGTCCAGCGGGCTTGCTGAAGCGTGTGAGCTCCAAGTAAGGTCCCCAGGAAGCTTTTGGTGCCGCATCCTTAGGCCTTGATGAGATGGACGAGAGTTTGGCAGGTGCCGTCTCCACGATAGTGCGTAGGGTCGACATGTTGTGTGTAGCTCAACTACGACGCGTGGAGTTCAATGTATTTCAGGAGGAGACAAGACTCGAAACGAGTTTCCTCTGGATCTCTCTACCCTTTGACTGCTAAGCACTTCTTAAGCTGTATGAGATTTTCAGGCTTTTAGGCTCTCGGGTTAGAATTCACCGCCAGGTTATTGGTGCGTCAACACGTCACGTACTCGGCGTGCAAGGGGCTTATCGGGGAGTTTGGGGTTAATCGGTGCATTTGTTGTACAATGTTGAGAAGAGACATAGGTACGCTGCATCTCTGCTACAGAGTTTGCTGTTTCCTTGCCGGATTACCGCTGACTGAAATATAGCTTTCAGTTTCCAACCCGGTGTCAGAGCTCATCTTTAGAGCCTCACCTATGAAGACTTGATGGAAGCGGTTTTTTGTGAGAATGTCCTCCTGTCAGGGGCGCGAGGCTGATCATCCTCCTGCGGCCAACGATGATCCTGTTTGATGGGTCGTGGGACCGCAAAGCTGCAGGTTGGTATGTTGGCTTAGGATCGTCTATAGACCTGATGACCTAATCGCAATTACAAGCTTCCCGAATGAGGCGGAGAGGGCGTCGTTCCTAAGCAGTCTATAGCGCCAAAATCCACCGTTGATGTTCACACGCGCCCCCACACGAGATCGGACCATTTTGGTTAAAGTCGGCATCCGACACCACAAGAACGCGACACTATGGCAAGATTACTCTCGCTACGTTGCCGGGCAAGCCGGCTCGGATGAGGGAGAAACAGACACGGCAGATGAAGAGGATTGGGTTGGAGCAGGGCATTAAGATGGGGAGCAGCGGCGCAATAAAAGGCTGGGATTGTCGATTGACATAAAATTGTGTACTCTGGTGTAAAGCCAGTCATTCCGAAATACAGACTCGTTACTCATAGTTTCCCTCTGCAGTGGAATAGACAGGAAGCACAAATGGCAACGCTCAACGCCGCCGAACTACAAGCCCGATACGCGCAGGAGCGCGACAAGCGACTGCGACCCGACGGATTTCAGCAGTACACACGCCTTCCCAGCAAAGATGACGAGCCGCTCGCCGATGACCCATGGTTACAATATGCGCACCAGGAAGACGGCCCACTCAAGGACGGCGACAACATCCAGTTTCTCATCATCGGCGCAGGTCATGCAGGGTTGCTGGCAGGAGGACGACTAGTAGAAGCAGGCTTCTCAGCGAAGGGCATATACCTAGTGGACGTGGCGGGCGGTTTTGGCGGAACATGGTACTGGAACCGCTATCCTGGCCTGCAATGTGATGTGGAGAGCTACATTTACATGCCTTTTCTCGAGGAAACTCGCTATGTGCCCAAGCACAAGTACGCATCAGGCAACGAGATTCGTGAACACTGCGAGCGCGTGGCATCGCACTATGGTCTGCGCGGACAGTTCTCGACACGGATGCTCAGTGCGACATGGGACGAGGAGCAAAAACGATGGGTGGTTCGCATGCGCAAGGAGCACAGCAATGGCGAGGAAATGACCATCTTGACACAGTTCTTAATTCCAGCTAGCACCATCTTCACAGAGCCAAGAATGCCCAAGCTCGAGGGCTTCGACGAACTTCGCGCCAACGTTCCGGTCTTCCACACAGCACGCTGGGACTTTGACTGCACTGGTGGCTCGCCAACAGATACTACTCTCTCAAAACTGAAGGGCAAGCGCGTCGGCGTCATCGGCACAGGCGCAACAGCGGTGCAGGTTATACCACAGGTAGCACGCTGGGCTGGTCATACATATGCCTTCCAGCGCACGCCTTCGTACTGTGTACCGCGCCGCCAGCAGGCTACGGACGATAGCACATGGACACGCGACGTGGCGACGGGGCCCGGCTGGCAACGCGCTCGCCGACTTAACTTCGACACTTTCTTCGACGGTCAGAAGCATCCGGCGGATCATCCGGACCTCGTCGGGGACGGCTGGACACAAATGGCGCGCGGTTTTGCGGGCTTCATTGGAGGCCCGCAACTTGTCACGCCCGATAACGTAGCAGAACACGCTCGTGCGCTGTATGAGATGGATGTGCCACTAGCAGAGCAAGCGCGAGCACACGTGCGGAACACCGTAGTGAAGGATCCAGACGCGGCAGAGAAGTTACAACCATGGTATCCGATGTGGTGCAAACGGCCCACGTTCCAAGACGGATATCTAACCGCCTTCAACCAGGAGAATGTTACACTCGTGGACACAGATGGCAAGGGTGTGGAGCGGTGCACACCGCGGGGTCTCGTCGCCAATGGAGTCGAGTACGAGCTGGATGTGCTGATTCTCGCCACGGGTTTCCTGCTAGCAACGGGTGCAGACGCAGCGCCTGCAGAGCTCTTTGGCATACCCGTTATTGGCCGCAATGGCCGCCGTCTCAAGGACAAGTATGGCTCTGCCGACTTTGGTACGATGCATGGCATCGCCACAAATGGCTTCCCCAACCTACTTTATCCCGGTCTCGGCAACGGAGCAGGCTCGCCGAACCTCACTGCTGTCTACGACATCGAGTCTACCCATCTCGCCAATGTATTGAAGGAGGCTGCTCGCCAGGCTCCGGACCCTACAAAACTTGTCATCGAACCGACCAAGCAGGCTGAGGATGCGTGGGTGGATGAGATCGAGAAGTGGTCGCTGTGGTATTCTGTCGTGATAGCCTGCACGCCGGGCTACTTTAATCACGAGGGCGCCACGTTGCGCCTTGCTGGAGGCGATCCAGAGAAGCGACGGCAGGCGATGCGAAGGGTGCTTCATGGAGGTGGTATCGCTATGTACGAGCGCATAGTTCGCGAATATGACGCGAAGGGCGACATTGAGGGCTTCGAAGTTTCGTAAAAGGTATAATGGCGTCGTACATAATGAATGCAGTGTTTCCAATCAAAACATGATTTCGCACGACACGACCATACGCAGAGCACCCTGAAAGGCACGTTGTGCATACATTCGTGTTGAGGTCTCAAGCTGCGCGCCAGCCGTAAGACAGCCGAAGCACCACTCAGAGTCAAGCGCGCTTATCTTCTTTTGGGCTGACCTTGATACGCTGAGAGCAATGCGGCGACTCGTCGCTTTTTTTTTTGGCCACCACACCACAAGAGCAATTTAATTATCAACTGCAATGTATTGCATTCGCTGGGTCGCCTCACCTTTGCTCGAACGGCCTCCAATTGATGCAAACGGTGAGCGTAGCGTCGAATCATCAGGGAACGGCCCTTCATGTTGCCTTTTACTGTAAAGGGGGCAGCGGCTTCGACGTGTTGCTCGATGACTTCTGAGCTGTGATAGGATGGCTTTCGATAGCGGAACTAGTACATACAGTATGGGAAGCAAGTCTGGGCGTGTTTTCTTGAGTTAGACTTTATTGGCCACGGTTCAGGAGAGACCATATACGCTAAAGCTTCGCCCAGCCTGCGACTTCGCGAGGGAAGGCATTGACTCAACAAGTGGATGAAGACAAGGACGAGTAGTCGACGCAGCGTCGGATAGGTCTACAGATCCGGTGCCCATGCAGGAAGCACTGGGCTCCACGTGCGGAGTCGACTTACTAGGCGGTCAGGTCCCTGCAGACCGTAGACGTATAGACAGCCTGTTGTAGATTCCATTACTGTCCATGATAGCTACTGTTAGCCAATGAGCAAATAGAAGTGATGAGTCAAGGCGATGGTGTAGAATCTTCGTACGCTACCACTTCCTGAAGGACGTATTGAGGCAAGTACCAATGTACAGATATCGAACCCAGTATCGAGTACGTTCTCGTTTCAAACCCTACGCTGAGACACGACGCATGAATCAAGCTCGCACTGTCATAAGCCTCTGGGCCTCGAACAGCGACGATACCGCGTTCTGGCAGCTGCACGCCCATATTTGAAGCTGGTCGCTGCCAAAGCTGAGTGACTGAACACCTAGGTACCCATGGATTGCTCCTCCAATGCGTAATGGAATACCGAAGCAGACAGGTACCTAAGTATGTGGTAAGAAGCCTTTGGTGAGATGACGACGGGCCGATAGCTCTACTAAGGGTGTGATCGATTTTCATGGGCGCCATGTCGTGCCTCCTGCCCCTGGGCGCCGTGCTAACCATACCTATTAGCGGCATTGGTCCGACCATGGATAGCTCCCGAGTAGCGCACCAGGTCTCCTGTGGATAATCCAACATCACATCTGCTTTCTCGACCCCATAACATCACCGGCGACATAACCACCAGACACGTCGGCGCGAAACCATCGTTAACCAAGGTGTTCATTATGCCTATACAACCAACCTATCGACGTATGCGATGATGCAACAACAATCGACCATTTTTACCCGTTAATGTCCAGCCTTCTATCCCAGATCAACCGTCTTGACGCGCCCATCTACTCGTAGCATCCTAAATCGTCGACAACGTATCCCATTACCGTAACGCCCGAAAAAGAAAAAAGGTGTCGTCAAGCCTGGTCTAATGCCGCCGTACCCAACCGTTACGATCATCGCCGAACCACCATCATAATGCGACGTCGCCCTACATTATCTCCCCGAACTTCGCTTGCCAACAATGCAAATCATGCCCGGTCGTTATAGAAAAGAAGTGTGAATCAAAGAGAGTATATGAACGACTGTTTTTCGAGAAGCAAAGGCGGAAGAGATGTGTGGATGGGTGCTCCTCACAACTTTCCGAGTGCTTCGTGATGGGTATATGCGCTCAAATCTAGCGCTGCTTGGGACGAAAGCACAAAAAGCAGAAGAGCACAATGACAAAGGAAAGAGACGAACAGGGCGTGAGCGAGTGGAAGAGCGACGTGTAGAACACAAGGTAGGCGAACCTAAAAAAACACACAACATGATCTAGACATGACATCGAAAGCGAAGTGATGGGCAACTGCTTCCGTTCGGGCTCCAGACAGGGTTGACACAAGCTCTGCCTTTGCTAGTCAGACACTTCGATCTACTCGGAGCCATGGAGGAGTTCGGGATGATGGCTTCGGTAATGCTTGCGCCTAGCATCAGTTCTGTTGAACTGTTTGCTGCAGCCCGGGCGCTCGCAATAAATTACTCTTGGTGAGTCTCCGTGCTTGTGTCTCCTGTGCCGCCCATAGTTGCCTTGTCGGTAGATGCCCCCGAACTTCGCGGGGCAAAAGGGGCACCAAAAGGGATCTGACAGTGTAGAATCTGCATGAGAAGGCGGGTTGGAGCTAGACGGATCGGAGATGAGGCTTTGAGCATGAATGTTGTCGTGGTTTGGTCTACTACGATCAGCATCTGAAAGGGTGATAATATGGCATAATGACTTACGTTTGACTAGCTGTATCCTGGATCATAGTCTGTAGCAGGTAACACTGCGATCGACCATCTTGTTGTCCGACTACTTGATTGCTGGGTACCGCCAGTGTGTCCTGTCCCTGTTCCTGGTTGAATGGACCGGATGCATACCCCATTGGATTCGACAAGTTGCCGGATGTCAGAGGAGCAGAGTGCCTAGTGGCTGTGTTAATCATGCTCCAGTGAGGTTCCTGCTTATCACCAGCTGGGTCCGCATTCGAAGCAACCAAGTCGAAGGTATCGCCGCTATTATGACTAGCATGACGAGTTTGATACGCCTCAGCCATATTCGCCACCTGTTCCAGCTGCTCGGTTGGTAATCTGGGGTGCTGGTTATGAAGGTTGACTGAAGACCATGGAACCTCTTCGTTGTATTCAGGCTGTCCTCTAGGTGCAGGAGCATCGTCATCATACCATCCGGGATTGGAATCGATTGAGAAATCCAAAGGCCACTCAGAATATGGCTCAATTCCCGGGCTGACTCCTTGGTTGGCCAGTATGGTATCAAGATGGACTTCACTGGGCATCAACCCATGGGCAGTAGCATGCTCAGATGGGAGTGGTATCGGGTACTGAAGTCGTTCACTGTCCCACGCCTGGTTGCCGACTGTGTCAATAGCAGGATTGTTGTCAGGTGTCGCCGCAGCCTCACGAGTGTTGTTCGAGTACAACGGCATTCCAGGATGATCGATTTGCGTACCGCCGCCGTTACTTTCGACTCTCTGCTGACGTCTACCGTGATTCGAAGCGGCGTTTCCGGTATCGACTTCGGGCTCATAGATATGGTTCGGAATGGATTGTCGCACATGATCGCGTCGCTCTACTTGATGATCCCCTAGATACACCAGAAAGTTTGGGTGTGGACGACCTCGATTTCCAAGATGTTCTTGGCCGTCACGGTGGTCAGCTCCGTGTGCGACAAAGCCTGCTCGATAAACACCACTACCATCATCAGCGTTGTCGCCCCAGTCATGCTTAGCACATTCATACTGTTGTTGGTAAGCTCCACGGAACTCGTTCGGAAGACCACCAGCGCTCTCGCCTGGCTCCGGATTGAATGAGCAGTCCTCACCCACCCCACGGTATGGGTGGTTCATCTTGGTAAGCTCCCGCTAAGATTTTAGAGACACTTCAATCTCTTTTTCCTTCACTGGGACCCACTGCTCTGAGTTCGCTTGCTGCGACGCGTGCTTAGCAGGTGGATAAGTCGTCCCCGTTGAAGTGGGTTTCGGGAGCTTGGCGGTCGAGAGCAGGGTAGGGTTCTGTCCACAGTCCTTGTGGAACCCACAACGAAGAGGAGGATTTGTTCGAAGTACGATATCATGCAAGAGACTGATTTTAACGGGTGATAATATGAGATCGTCGAGATGAGGGAGGGAGCTGTGAGGTGCAAGGTAAGTTGTTTAGCGCGATGCAGGGGTGAAGCATGGCTGGGCAGAGTCCTCCACAAGATTCCGGGTCCAGTCCGAAAAGGTTGTTTTCAAATTCATGCGAGGGATTCGACAATGCCAGGAAAGACGTGGAGCGCTCCGAGACGTGAAATTCGTCATGAGGTACAAGGCGAGCATACCTGTCCGGCAAGCGATAATGTGTGATCGTAGGCACAATCGCAGATAGGTTGGTGCGGAGCACGAACATAGGACGTCTATCCGGTAATTACATTTGGAACGTATTCGAGCGAGCCTACGTTCGCCTCACTTCTGTGGCGCTGTCGACGTAGTTTAACGCTACCGCCAGACAGAGCCGTTGCGACGAACAGGAAGCTATCGTTCATGACAACCGAGAAAATAAACCCGATGTTATGGTCGCGTCGCTATACATCTTACGTCAACCAAGTTGTACATGCTTGAGTTGTTTGTGATACGTCGCTTGTGTGAAGGCGGTGTAGACGGGCGATGGATAACTCTATACGAGTCCGGCTTGTCTTAGCCCCGATGGGCAGGCTTCAATGTTTATCAGCTTCAACGCGCTGCAACAACTAGCACAAGACGGCAGGAAGCTTCAGACAACTGCAAGGGTCCAGGGTACTCAAGACGATGCAGCAGCAACGGCAATGTGGTATAGTGTAACGACCTCATCTTGTTGAGCTTGACTACTCCATGAGTTGTGTTCAGCGCGACTCCTCGGTGCTGAGCCACCTCCGTCGGGGTTGTGACGGACCCACTTTGGTCCTTCTGTCGTCATTGAAGTAGTGTTGCGGGTATCGTATGGGTTATGACCGTGGCGGAGAGCAGGGCAGACCGTACGGCAGACTGGGTGCGACAGCGTTGGTCGTCGGTGGTACGACGATGGTCCACGTTGTTGTTGCGAGCGTGGTCTGGCTGATTCAACGTGAGTAGGCGTGGCTTCTGCCTATAGGGGTGGTACAGCCTGATTCAATAACGATATGAAAGGTAAGCTCCCGAGGACTCGGTGCGCCGCAACCATTGGGCGTGGATTTGGAGCGTGTTAGAATTGAGAAAGTAGCATCAAGTTTTAGGCTAGAGAAGAGAAGAGCTTTCCTTTATTCATTATCCACCTCAAAGCCACCCACCCAAAGCTGAAGGGATGTCCTTAACGCCCCACCGTATTTGTTCTTCTAATCTAGGCACATGGGGGCCAGCCCTCTTGCGGTAGGTAGACGGCACACTCCCCAACGGCGGCTTGGTTGTGAAGTTCTGTAACGGCACCCTGGTTGCGGCTAACATTCAACGCATCCCATCTTTGGCTGCTCGCATTTTCACCGACACCACGCACCAGCACAACCCTCTTCAATTATCTTGAGAAACCATTATTCTGCGCAACGCCACTGACCTAGATGATGCTCAGCCTTGGTGAGCTTTGCAACCTCTACACTGTGGGTGCATGCTTCCGAAGCTGTGGAGTATTTCGCGCTTAGCCGGCGCCTCTCATGCTTATGCAGAGTGCTGCTATCCAGCCAATGTGGGCAGGTTCAGCCACTTTGCACACACTCTCCCCCGTCGAGCCCTCATACCGAAGGGAACCTTGGAACGCCGATGAAAGAGGTCATTCGTGCTCGCCTCACAGGGCTGGGGTCGTATCCCATACTCCCTTGGTCTTGACTTAGTATTAGCTCACAATTTACATCGTAGCGCCTATCGACATATGTGGGAGTATGCCTATTGTAGGACCTGGGCACTCCAATACACCCGTTGGTAGAGTACATATGCGAACGAGACGCCCAGCTGATCAATCGATGCTAGGCACAGCTAGCCTTTCTGGGGCGCGTTCAAGGAAGATCAAACAATTCATCCAGCAATCAATTGAGGCCCGGGTCGTGTTTGGAACGTATTCGACAACTGTGCCGCAATCTAAGGGCGCGACTGCAGCATGATGGTGGTTTGTTAGGAGCGAAAGGATTCTTTGGCCGAGTTGACCTAGATCTAGGGATCAGCGGGCGAGCGGTTGCTAGATGGGGCGTAGTTCCCAACCCATCATATGCAAGCCTCTCTGGCACCACACCATCACATCTCGATTGGTGGGGCCGATAAGCAAAAAGCAGTATGTTGTCCGAGTTGCGATGCCACATTCAGAGCGTCATATGTAATAGTGAAGACTAACACAACGCTTGTAAAACGCTCAGGGCTCAAAGTGCCGGCGGTAACATCAGGCGTACATAGATAGCGTTGGGACGGGAACCACCGGGGCGGGACACCCCCAACACAGCGGGAAGTCATTGCGACATTGGCACGGACCGCGTTAGACATTGACACTCCCGTCGCGTGCGGATCCAAAGCGCCGGCATCGCTCTTGGGACTGGGTAATGGATGTGGGACTGCGTGAACATGACCAGGCTGGCGGAACTCTGCTTATAGGATTCGATAGCCTGCTTACGATCTAGAACCACTACCAACGTCAGAACTTTCGCAAGGTGTGATTCAAACAGTAAATGAGGGTGCGCCCGCAATCATGTTGTGGTGGTGTGCACAACAAGCCGTTCTGTACATGTAGACTGATTGGATGCCAATGCAAATCCAAGATCAGGTTGAAGTCTTCCACTGTCGGTCACGGTGAAGAACAGCACAATAGTTGAGGCGGAAATTTTGACTAACAACCAGAATAGTTGCAAATAGTATCAACAAAGATTGACATGTAAAGCATCACCAAATTGTCAGTAGTACTTCCACGAGGAGCAGCCTTACGCAATCACAAAGATCCTGCGAAAGTTGCAGGATTATTGGACCTGCGGCCCGCCCCATCTGTGAGCCTTGTCATTGCCATAGTTGGGGCAGAGCACGGTTGAAAAGGTAGAACCGTGTGTGCACCAAAGAGCCCAACGCTCTACTGACGGAGGTCTTTCCGAGGTAAAGACGGAATCGCATGTGCCGCAATCAGAAGATGCAAACCAAGTTATCGAATCCTATTGCGAGAAGGTTGCGAGTACTCCGCGGACTGAAGCACACCTATTACAAGTCGTAGATAGCGTTGAGGCGATGTTGAAAGGCGCTTCTGTAACCGAACGTGTACAATGCCGAGTCTATTACTCAAGGTCTCTTCTATCATAGACATTGTACTTTTCATGTCTAAGTATACTTGGAATTGAGCATCGTGCGGCAAAGGATTACCCGACGCTGACCACCCTCGACTCTACGCCCGTTGCCCGCTGGGCGGTAAGCTTAGAGACGAGATCGATCACGACACCTGTGCAGTGATAGGTTCATGTTCAGATATTTATGTAGTTTTGGTTTGCTCAGCCTCACCTAGTTCCAATAATCTCAATCTCTCGGGGCCAGAAAGTCGCGTCTAAGAAACATACTTGGTGATGATAGTATCTTGAAATGCAGGTTCCTGCTATTTGGAGCCACCTGGATAGACTGCATTGAGTGTTTGTTCCGTAATGGATATAGTGCCCGGAGTCGTGTGTGAAGACCAACACGAAAGCTCGTCATTGTACAGTGGATCAGCGTCGAGACCTGAGACCACTGATCTCAATCAAGGTTACGCCCGAAAGAGGCGCACCGTACTTTGGCAAGTTACTATAACTCCCCATAATCGGCAAAGATAGCGATGGACGAACGGGGGCCGGGGTAAGATGTGACCAGGCAAAGCGAATGCGGTCGTCTTTGCGGTCTCCAGTAGGAACAGTGATGTGGTTCATAGTCCATGCTTACCCCGTACTGAAACCGCATACAGCACACCGCTTTGATTCTTTGGGATTGTCGGCCAAACAGATTCTTCAAATATTCGTCCCAAAGGAAAGTCTTATACGAAGATGGTTTGCTTCCAGCACCTTGGTGGACGGCCTATGAATGCCAGCGATGGCAAGCACAGACACGAAGATCATGAGCGACTAGCTTACAATGACCGGATCAGTCGTATGCGGAAGTTGGAATATCCGATGCTCAAAGGTATGCTGATTTATCACGTCCCTTTCACATCTTGTTGACTGTTGATAGGCCTGACCTACCTCGACCATGGCGGCACAACCCTCGCACCAAAGTCATTACTCGAATCCTTTTGCAATGAGATGCAGCATACTCTTCTTGCCAACCCCCACTCTGATTCTTCCAATCCAAGTTTGACCGCCATAATGGTAGAGCAAACGCGGCTTGCGGTTTTGAAGATGTTCAATGCCGATCCAGCGTACTTCGATATTATCTTTACCGCCAACGCAACTGGAGCAATCAAATTGGTGACTGAGGGCTTCTCAGACCAGGACGAGGGATTCGATTACTGTTACCATCGCAATAGCCACACAAGCCTTGTTGGTGTTCGGGAACTCGCCTGTCGTAGCCACTGCCTCGCATCGAATGAAGAGACACAAGATTGGCTTGCTGGTGGGAACCATACCTTCAACGTAGATCCGTTATCGAGAAGACCGATGTTGTTTGCGTATCCGGCGCAGTCGTAAGTAGCTTGGCGCATGCTATGAGGGTCCACACTGACATTTGCCCGGCGATAGGAACATGAATGGTGAGCGACTTCCACTTGAGTGGATTACCAAGCTCCGGCTCTCATTACACCATCCAAACTCTTACTCCCTCCTCGATGTAGCCGCTTTGGTATCTACCACCCCAATCGACCTGAGCAACCACCTCTTTGCCCCTGACTTCATCACACTCTCCTTCTACAAGATCTTTGGGTTTCCAGACCTTGGTGCCTTGATCGTTCGGAAAGCAGCTGGCCATGTGTTTGACAAGCGGAAATATTTCGGCGGTGGTACGACGGAGATGACAACGTGTATCAAAGAGTCGTGGGTTGTTCGCAAGGAATCGAGCCTACATGCACGGTTAGAGGACGGAACAATCGCGTTTCGGAATATACTTGCTTTGAAGTGTGCCATAACAACTCACCGCCGTCTATTTGGTGGGCTCGAGGAGGTCTCGAAACATGCTAGCTGGCTTGCCAAAATCCTACACAAGCGCTTGGCGAGCATGGCTCATGGCAATGGCGCGGCAGTATGCCGTATGTACCAGTCAAAAGACTCTAGTTATGACCACTCGCAAACGCAAGGACCGACGATAGCTTTCAATGTACGCAGAAGTAACGGAACATACGTTGGCCCATGGCACGTTGGCGGGTCGCTAAGAGCGAGTGGGATCCATGTTCGTATGGGCAATGTGTGTAACCCCGGAGGTATCGCATGCGCACTAGGCATGAACGACGAGTGGTTGCGCGGAGCATTCAATGCGGGCTTGCGATGCAATACGGAGGCTGACATGCTGGATGGCATACCCATTGGAATAGTCAGGGTAACCATTGGAGCTGTCAATACCCTGGAAGATGTTGACACGCTCGTGGCATGTCTATCGCGAGACCTCGTGGAGCAAAAGGACCATGTTCAAGCGACGGTGAAGATATATGACAAGAAGGATGAAGGGATTCTGGGATCTAGGTCTCCCTCTGCTGTTTCGGAAATAAATGGCATTCGGATAGAACCGATGACATCAGGACGCGAGGAGCATGACAACGCGCCAAAAACCTCTAGAAGGCCATTTCCATGGTTGGCAAGGAGAAGAAATTGGTTGTCCGCCATGATACACACGGGTAGATAGGCTGGGAGTCCTCCGTAGTTTGCCAGGCGTAATTTTCGCGATTCGGTGTTTTCACGTCCGCGCATCCGAGCTCAACTGTTGGACAATAAAATCCATCCATTGTTCCCTTCTGATAGTTGTGCATGTCTTTGGCGATATCCAAACTGCGGTCCGCGCAATCCGTCCTGATGGGTGTGATGCAATGGAGTCGATCTCGCGACGCCCGTCGCCTTCCCGGCCCCCACACTGAGTCGATCTCGCTAGTCGATCAAAGACCTAGCGCAAGATCACTATCCGACAGATTATCTACATATGTGCTCATGCAATATCACATTGGCATAGGTAATATGGCGCCATGCGTGAGTGTCAAGTAGAAACTTAATGCAGCCTGGGAGGGGTCAAGATCCTGGCGGAGGGCACATGCGACGGTTATGCTTTGTGGCTGCACCCAAATCAACACGAACTCCGCTGGCGTCGACGCCACTTCGCTGAACACAAGTAGCTTGGCCTTCACGTGGTTGGAAGCGTTCAATTTGGCCGTCTTGTTGAGAATGAGCAAGCTTGGAAAGAAGTGTCGATCCCTTTTGGAATACAGTCCCAACGAGTACCTGGGTAGTGCAAAAGCCATGGCGATATAAGCAAAGAGAGGTCAGGAAACGAGCACTTATGAATTTTTTTACTGTTACTGCAATTAGCTCGTAGGTAGAGGTAGGCCTTCGAACTTGCATCCTGGGTTGTAACTTATTAACAAGAGCCGGCTTGGTGACTTTGAGCGGACCATCCGCCATGCGCGCAATTCCCCAGACAACGGGAATTGCTATAGCCGAAGCCGCAATCAATGACTGAGAGCGGATGCCCCGCACTCCAGTTAAGGAAGGATTCGTAATGGCTGTATTGATCGTCGAAGCACATATCTCAACTGCTGATCTGCGAACTGTTGGCTTTGCGCTAGCATTCATTCAAGACTGGGGCGGCTCTGCAACTGGCATGCAATTGGTTCATCAACTGCGAGGTGTATACTTTCCACCCTTCAATGAGCTGCAAGCACTGTAGTGGTGGCGATCCACGGGGATGTGGCAGATGTGCGTGCGCACTCCACAGCTTCGCATCCTGTTGAACGGTCGACTCACACGTAAGGCTTACTGGCATATCCATGGATTCCAAGGCTGGGACAACCAAACTTCAGCAGGTACTGCGAACGATAGATGAGAACATTCGAAGCCACGTTTTCCTGAGATAAGTGTGAATGTATCCACAGTTCCAGGTTGAGGAAGACGTGTAAAGTATGACTACAAAATGCAAGGCTGCCTACTTCTCATCCACAGCAGACGGACGGGGTAGATGCCATGTTTAGCGCACCATGACGCCGTATGTGGATAGTCAAAGGTGGGGAACTCTGGTCGCTGGGTTTGCGTGTGGTGGCCCGAAAGGTTGCGACTGACGGTTCCGCGTCCGCCATGCATATGTTGAGAGTCGAAGGCGCAAGTAGGTATGCAAGCATGATGAAGGCTGTATGTGCTTTCAGCGTGCTATAAGCATAGCTATACTTCCGCATTCTGTCGTACTTCTGACCTGATGTTGCTTATCTCTGGATCCTTCTTTCGAAATTACCCGTAGCCATCAGTGCCGCATACTCTTCTTCTCCAGCTACCGCTTGCCTCTCATAATTACCAGGCTACAACCGGATGCTCTCAACCGGCGGCTCATGGCCCTTGAGGTCTCTATCAATGACGTTGCCTGTCTGCCTTGCTAGTACGACAGCAGGACATCTCGCAACAGGGCGGTAAGGATCGCGCTCAACCATATCGGCTCATCGCAAACCATCAAAAAGCGGGGCGCCAGATGGCTCAGGGCGTAGGTGTCGTCATTGGGGCATATTGCGAACAATCTTGTTGTCAAGCACCAACTGCCTATGACTTTGCCTTCTGCTAGCCCTCGTTCGAGGGTTTGAGAGTGGTCGTCGTCTTGCTGACATGCAACATCAGTGGCCAGGCCTCATGCCCCTTCTTCAAGGCGTCTGGGCAACGCAATCAGACACTCGTCGCCAGCATGAGCAAGACTATGGCAGTGTGCTCCGAATTGTCGTCCAAGTCGATGCACATGACCGTCCCATGTTCTCCATTCGTTCGAAGAAGGTCAACTCGCTTGCGCTCGTCGTCTCTCAACATCGTACGAGATACTAGCCCGCTCCAGGTTTGTTCCAAAGACTTTCTGCTGCGTGCGTGTCAGCACAGCCCACATCGATACTAGCCCGTGTCGCAACTAAGTGAGGCAACCAACACTGTTCATGTACCTGGACATCGATGGTTAGCAAAGCAGGTGTCGTAAAATGCTGCCGTTGTGCTGGAGGCATCCCCTCATTGCGGAATTTCTCGTCGGTCTCGATGTCATACGAAGCGATTCGCCAACGCTCGCGTTTATATTACCCTCTGATCGCCGTCCGTTGCACGCAAGAAACGTCTCGACTCGTGTAAAGCTTTCTCTAGTACTGATACCTGTTTAGAGTTGCCAGCCTTACATACCCCTCGCCCACAACGCTCAGCAGGTTCGCCTGACCGCACAGCCTTGGCTCCCGTACCCTAAGTTTAAGACTTTGCCTCGCGCAAGACTTGCCGCCTCCTCTTACCAGCCCAGGACATCACCCAAGAACAAACAGTTCATCAAGAAACCCAAAATGGCATATGAAGATGCACCCGTTCGCCGAGACTGGCTGGACAGCTCTGGTGTATACGAGCGCCATAGTACGAAGACGAATGCATTCGGTGCGACCGGCGCTTCTGAGAAACGACTAGCCGTATACAACATGGCGACAAGCTACAACCATGAACGACCAACATCAGGACATCTTACACTTGTCGAAGACATTCGGGGCTTAGGGTCAATGTCGCCCATACCGCAAGGCGAGGAGTATTGTGGCATCGAGTTCCAGGATGCGGTGAGAGAATGCCAGCCTGATGCCACCAACTCTAGATCGGATAACCCGTGGAGTCCATGGCATCCGTTGGGCTTCCATGAGGTGACGGAAGACCAACGGATGTTTGCTCCTGATGAAGAGAGCTATGGTCAACCATGCCCGTTCCAACTCCGGTTAGAAAGTTCGTTCGAGTCTGCACCGAACCAATTCGATGAGGACGATTCAGGTTATGCAGAATCCCCTGCGGAGGTATCTGATCAACCGACCCACAGCAATACTTCCAAGTAAGTGGATATCCATCGCATGTAACGAGTGACTGCTGAACTCGGTACAGTGTACCGGGCTATCAGCGAGGCCAGCAATACCTTCCCACCCCTAGCAACGGACTGATGTATTCATGGCCTAGGGGTACGACGAGCGTGTCCTCACCCCAACAGGAGAGACAACTCAATTGTCCCGAGTTGGGTTGCCGTTCCAAGTTCAAAGGGACCTATGCACACGGCAATCTTGCTCGTCACCGACGGCTAAAGCATGTTGGCCAAAAAGTGCGGGAATATATCTGTGAAGAACCCGGGTGTTCAAAAAGCTACAAGCGTCAGGACGCCCGCATGAAGCATTATCGCAAGCATCATGTCCACCTCGCTTCTGTTCCAGTGCTGCCGCGTAAGAATAGGTCGATGTCATCATGCAATGGCAGGTCCATCGATTTGTCGATGTGACGCGAAGGCAGCCAAGCCCATCGAGTGGATGTCGAATTGGTCTTTAGTGTCAACATACCCTCGATGTTTGGTCCAGCTTCATAATTCTTTCCCAAGTCAACTCTTTTTCGTATGTTCTTTTTTCTTCTCGATCATGTCCTTTCCTGCAACAACACATCAGATGTACCATAGCTAACAAAGCTGAACGCCTGGATGCAAGCACGTGTCGTTCGAAAAGATCATCGTCCTGTCAGGCCAGTCATGTTATCGGTGCACCGGGAGTTCTATTGGAGTCGGGCGTAATGGTTTTATACGTTAATGAGGGTTCGAAGGCGGAACGACGTCGAAGGAGAGTTGAGAGAGAAGATGATGAAGACCACCAGACTATGCCGACCGTTCGATCTCAAGGAGAAGCTTTAACATGTGCCATCGCAAGGCATGCTGAGCACTAGAGTCTGAACAAAAGGTAGTCAGGGCTCAAGACAAAAGAGTATGGGGGGGATTGGGGCATCAAGGCTCGCCGCCGCCGAAGGCCGCCTAGTTTTAGTGGACCAGCAACATTGCCAGGGCTTCGAGGCCCCTTGTCGACTTGCTAAAAGGAAGCCTTGCTAGCTTTCAGGTTCGCCATCCGCCTAACACGGTCATTTGCCTCATCTCGGTGTCTGGTAGGAACGATTCGCTACAGCACGGTCTGCGCTGGGGCGATCGCTTGCTTCATGATTAGGGGATGTTGTCGCTCCTTGGCCACCTGAAAAGCGTTAGGAACACAACGCGACCAAGTTGTGTTAGTCGGTAAAGTATGAAAGATAGAGATCGATCCCTATGAGGTCCATCGATATCAGTACTTTCCTGATGTATGTTGTACGTGATAGCAGGCAGGAAGTAGGGCAAGTGTGGTGATGTCAGAAATGAGACCAGGGTGGCACGAGCGCCGGTCGAAACAGAGCTTCTGTCGCAGCAACAATCGATTCCTTCATCCCTTCATCCCAGATCTCGCCCACCACGCAAGTTCGTCGAGTCCGTATACAGTCGGTTGACAATCTAAGAAGCGGAAAGTGCTGATGACTCTCCACAGCCGCATGTTCTTTGAGCTGAGACTCCCTGGCCAGAGGAGTTTGATATACACGAGCTGTAGTATTGCGCCCTAGTAAGTGATGCCATCAATGGCATCGTCAGCTGAGGCTACGTAGGATGCATCAGCATCCCTTTCGACCCTCTTACGACATTTTCCGCATTAGTGCAATGACTCTTTACGCTGTGCCACGTCGCCATGTCCGGTGGCAACAGTCTATGGCATCGCAGGTCTGTCTTTGAGGCGTGAGTGCAAAATCAGTGTCGCTGGTTGATGAATACTCGGTTTGGGCTCGCAGAGCATCTGTCCTGACGATGCCCAATCATTCAGGAGTCATGCGCGTACGCCATGGCACAGGTGTTCGATAATATTCTAGAATGCTTTTTCGAAAACAACTCATTCTTCCTCGCGTGCATCTGATGGCAAAGCACAGCCCGGTTCAGCATGATTTCTCGCGTTACGCGTGCCGGGTATATCCGAAGAATCGCCACAAACGGAAGTCGAATTTCGTAACTCGCTCAACAACAACAGAAATACTTTGAATCTAGTACTTTGGAACCTGGGGGTAATCTATTCGCTACGAAAAGAAGCAGTTTGTTTGTAAGCTTGCGAATGTCTGAATGACGTCGAGGCTTCGAAGGCTCACGTGTCGTCTATACCGATCATCAGGTTCCATGCAGGTGACACGAAGCTACAGCAAGCCACTATGTATACGTGGTATGTTTCAAGCTCCGTCGGTTGTTATACTATGATAGTCGTACAGCTAAAGGCTTGCTCAGCTGCGCTTCCTTAGCGGTGTTTGGGGTTTGACAACTATCATCATACAACGTGGCTCCCGTTGACCCCCGTGCGCCTGATCAGCACAATCCCTGAAGTACGCAGGAACTAGGACCAATTCTAGGATTCATCGGTTGGGCTCGAGATGACTTGCAGCAATGAATGAGGCAGTATCGAAGTAAGATGCATGGTTGGCTCAAGGTATCCGTCCCCCCGGGAGGTCCAAGATCAACGGTTTGTACCGGCCTCACTTCACCTGGTGAGTAACAAATGCATATTATGATATGAACTGAATCGTGGATGTTTTACGAGTTGTCGTCTATCCAATCACCATCCTAGCGATAAACAAACGCCACGGGCAAGCCTAAATTCGAGCTGTCAGTCTGGCATATTCTGAACAGTTTTGTTCAGGCACTTGTTGGAGTCGTAAAGCAGTCCGTCAAGGTAAGATTACTGTTCAGAACAAGATATGGAAACGCTGGGATTGCTGGGACAGTTGGATTTACGAGATGCACTTTCCTTAGCCCAATAGCAAGCATCGCGCATCGTGTCGACCACAATCAGCGATTAAATATCGCATTTCGGGTGCTGGAGGTGACACAGCGCCATCATATGATCGAAGAGGGCGTTATTCAGGCTCTAACATTGATAGGAGTATGTGTGTTGTATCGTCCCCTATCGGTGAGCCACGCGCGACAGCACTGTGTTGTGCCAAAGCGCGGTGTAGGGGGATTGGCAGCTATTAGACCGGACGTCCACACCGTTTCCTTGTGGATCTTGACATTCTGCTTCCATCTAGATTCATGTGATATTGCCCGACTACCTAGAGAATTGGCTGTCACGCAGCAGAGCGTCAAGATACGAAAAGGACTGGCTCGACGCATATGAATCGGATTGAGTTGGTGAAAGTTAAAGAGTCATAATTTGGGCATCATGAGTACTTAGGGCAGGTTCAACAGGACATGCTGCCTGAACGACGACCCGTGACCAATGTGTTGGACGAAGGGTGGGGAGATGCAGCTGGAATAATGATTTGGAGATTTCGCCAGACACATTTTTGTGAAACTACGACGAGTCATCTGATTGACGTGTCGAAAGTAGAGAATTTCAGAATTCGAATGGTGCATTTTAGCTGTACATCATAGGCTGAGAAGCCTGCATTCTGCATGCATGAGCATGCACGTTCGCAACCATCAAGCGCACCGAACAGCCCTACGCGCGACCAAGCAAGTGAAGGAAAACAAAATAGAAGAACCTGGTAGCCAGATCAAGAAACATTTTTACTCTCGATTTTTGTTGCCATCTCGGGCTGGCCGGTCGTAGTGAGCTAATAATGTCGAGATTTTCCTCACTGCATTACACTGCCACACTCTAGTGGCGTTGCACTTTCCTTGAACATTACCACCACTCCAGTATCGAGAAGTATTCGTAACTCACAGCCGAATCAGGAATCTGATTGCGACAGCAAATTGCCACTGAATGATGAGGCAATTTTCATCGAGAGGCATATGATGGCAAACGCTCAGATGCATGGCCAACGCTGGTCAGCTCAGCTAGAACATGACAGCTGCGTACGCGTAGCAGGTTTCAGCTGCGGCAATGGATTGTATCCGATCGTACATATCCAAGCAATGCTAGGTATGTGATCCTCCTATGAATCAGAGAGTCCGCCATCCAATACATCGAAGACCGCCAACAAAATGTCCTCCGCCTTCGTTCACAGCCCGCCTGAATATGGCAATATCCGTGGCCAGTCCTCTTGGGAAGAGTCATGGAACAAGCTTGCCAGGTGTGGAAGGAGTCTGGAAGCATGACTCAACGGTTCCAGTATGGCCAAGGTGTAGGTTTCGCCTTCATTGGATGTCACGAGCGTGCAGACCGAATGAGAGGACCTAAGGGATATAGTAGCGATTCGAATGACATTAGGCATCTCTGGGGCGACCTATGGATGCCTATGGATGACAAACTTATCACACCGGTCGCCTAATTCGATACGCCACTGCAAAAAGCCAGCTTTGAGAGAACTTCCCGTCGGGTATATGAAGCTTGGGCTACCATTCCATGCATCGCGCCATGGAAGGATATCTGGCTACTCGTCTATCTGGAACATGTTACAGATCTGCGGCAAAAGCAACAACATGTCAGCTTATATCCGCAGTAGGAGAGCGTGACGACTGTCACATACCTTTACCTTCTCCGCCTCACTTTAGGAGATCGACATTCGAGCCTTATCTTCGTTGGGCACTGAGGTATGAAGACGCGAGGAGCATGGGTGTAGCCTGTGGTAACCCTCGTCGTACGAGAAACACCTGTCCGTTTGCGAACTGCCATTATAATCGTGTGGCGTCTCATCGAGTTCCGTCAGCCGGAAACTTCTTTTGCACAATCAGAGTTCCGAACGAAGATATCCCCAAGCACTTTGGATGTTGGCGGGTGGCCTCGTTATATTGACCAGCGTAGGCAGCTATCGACATGGAGCCTGTCGTGTCTTGTGGTAATGCCGGAGATATGCCAGGTTGGCGAGGGACGTGTCGTGGAACACTCGTACAGTGGGCCGGCCCCGGCTCTGCTCCGTCCCTTCGGCCAACGCTTACCTAGCACCTCACGATGTTCCTTCCCCCTCGACCTCAGCGTCCTCATCGTCCTCGACGATTCCGCATCGTCGAAACCATCGCCTCCCGGATTGGTCACAACTATGGGCGCTCTTGTTGTGTCCTCATGCGCGAAGGCGGCAAGGCAACTGCTGCCTGGGTGAGGTGGTGGGCCTCTTGCTGAGGGGGTAGCGACCCAGCCCACCAACACAACGCTTCCTCAACCACATCTCATCACTACGTACAACAGCACCAAGACCATGTTTCGCAAACGTATCCGAACACCAGAACAAGAAACACAAAAGAGATGGGTCCATACAAGGAATGAGTGTGCGCGGTGTCCGGTCCGTCGATGGTACAGGAACATACGAAAGAGCACTAACGAAATGTGCCGAGCATCTGCAGATGTGGTTACTGACAACAAAAGAAAGTATCGTAGCATTACATGTCATGGGGTGCTTAGCTGCTTCGGTCCCTTGGAGGACCACGGATAGACAAAAGAGAGTGACGAGGGGCATCTACATCGAATAAAGAGATAGTCTTGGTGCCATGACTTTCGATGAGAGTCTCGTTGAGTACAGACGGGCTACTTGGATACCCAGTAGCGTCGTACTAAGGTTCAGCCAGATCTGCTGCTCAGAATGTCTGGAGAACGCTCACGATTTGCGCGTCTTGCATCATACCGGGGGTGGTAATCATTGGCCAGTTGGGGATGCCATCTCCGGTAGTGTTTCACCCTAGCGTCCTGCCTCTTAAAAACCCTGCCGCATAAAAGGTCCTCGCATTCATACACTACAGGGCCTTTGTGTTTAAGTCGCTTGTGCCGAGCTAGGTTACCCTTCCGATACATGCCGCTGAAGACTGCGACACAACCGTCCGTGTCACAAAAGATTTCAGGTGGCCCTGCAGGCGACGATGCATCCGATGAGCAAGAGACTGTATCCGAGTGTTCCATCACTGGCGACAAGAGATTCTGACCACGTCCACCTAGTCTGATGAAGTCAGCGATGCACTGATATGCAAAGGCAATATGTGTACCTACCCTGTCTCCAGGTTGCTAGTATCTATAGCGTGGCCTTGTAGACCGACTGGCGGGGTTGCGTGCCGCACACGAAAGTATGGCGGAATGTGCATCTGGGTAGAAACGTTCGAATCTGGTGCTGTCCCCGGAGGTACTTGGAAGTTGGGGATTATGGGACGCTCAGTAAGCATACTGTCGTATATCACATCATCGCTAGGGTTGTTCGAGGATATGCGCGTCCAGGAGTCATCACCAGTCTGATAGCTTGACTCCGAATTGCCATTCCCGAAAGTTGACGGATTGGTGTATGGGATTCCATTGGGATATGTCCCCAGGCTTGCGAAGTCTTTTTGGGACGATTGAAGTATCTGATTGGGTTCGTACGCGGACCATGGCTCCTGGTCAGTATTCGTCTGGAAGTCACCGATGCCTTCCATGAGAGGCTCAAAGTTATTGTCAAGATTCTCAGATCCTTGAGCTACAAGAGCTGGGGACAGACCGGAAAGATCGTAAGGATAAGCTCCGTTCGAGGTGGGTCGATAGGCTGTGGCGGGGCCTGGAAGTCGAGACATCTCGAGGTCATCCTCTCGACCTTGAACATTGAACACAGTAGCTGAGTGGTTGTGCGGAAGAGGATGAGAATACGGAGACGCGCCGGAGTCCGCTGACACGACAAGATTTCTAGCGAAGTTGGTCCTGCCCGGCAAAGTCCAATCAGGCTGAGCCTCGACCGTGTTCGAGACAGTAGTTCCATGTTGTGCATGTTCGTCCCACGAGAGTCGGTTTCGAGGAACACACCCTGTGTAGGGCTGTCGTGTAGATTGTAATCCGTCTTGGCCGTAACCGAACAATGCCGTGTTCGCCCTGCTCTGCTCATCGAAGCCCGAGTGACTTGGAGCTGGCTCTAGTCCCTCTCGGTTCCTGTTCGAGGTGGACATTGCTCCGGTTGGTTCTCGATAGTAGTTATACATGTTGGGATACGACAAACTTCCATCGACGCCAGGCTGCCAAGAGTATTGCGATAGGTGGTTCTTTTGTTGAACTCGGTCCATCCGGAAGCCGGACTGCATTTGGTGCGTTTGTTGTCCTCGGCTTCGCTTTCTTTCACGACTGCGATTCATCTTTATCATGTACCTAGTTCGAAAGGCCAAGAGACAAAATGTCCTCTCCAAGTCTGCTGGCAGTGGGATGGTATCGAGGAGTACGAGGTTTCAAAACGCGCGACTGTGATCCAGGTGGGTGAGAAGAGAACGATGCGATGCTAGGTCTGCTGCGAGTCTAGACGGACGGTGCTGGTTTGCTTGGTGACAGATGGCAAAGGGCGGAAGGTGGATTTGAAAGAGGAGGATACGGGACTGGGTAGAAAGCGGCGGTGTTGGTCTTGTTCGGGGTCTTGATGATGCGCCGTGGTGGTATAGCCTTGCGTAGATGGGCGCCCAGATGAACGATGACTAAGTTGTGAGCACCACCAAGGTACAACAACTCGATACTCACGCCTCCCTCCTGCCTGGAACTTTTGTGGATTGGTGTCGGGCCGACTGCGAAGAGATGGAGTGTGAGACAGTCTCGATGAAGTCGGAGTCGTAAACGGTAGACACAGAGAGAAGATTCGAGCCTCTCAAAACGATGCGTCGTCGTTGTGCTGTAGGGAGGTCGCTTCTGCAGTAGGTTGGCGTGACTAGCCCTGACAGATGTATGTGTGAGGCTAGGTTTCTGCTTGCGGAGGCAACGGTCGAGATGCACGGTCGAAGAGGAGGGAGAAGAGGAGAGAATGGCGGTCGAAGTATGTCGTTGCTGGCACGCTGTGATACGTTTGTATGAGCCGGGCACCTGGGCTGGCTTGAGGGACCCGAGGCGGCCAAGGTGATTACACAACTAGTACAACGCCAGCAACAATCCCAGTTCATGGAGGACGTATCGTTACCGTATCAAAAAGTCAGAAGAGTATTCGGCGGATCAAGGTCGGACTCATGAGCTTTAGTGATCGGCCAGACACCCGGCCTGCCTCCAGAGGTGGGAGCTACGCTGGCCTTCTGCCTGTTGCCTGCTTTGCTCATCTCACCATGATATGGCGGGCCCGCGCTGCACTAGCATGTCCACACTCCTGACAACATGGACGCGGACATCCAAGCCTTCACAGAAAGCAAAATACCAGCGGACTGGCCCATGACATCGGGGAGGCTGTACAATTCGGGAAATTTCGTCGCGTCAGGTTGCCTGCGGTGATCATTTGCGCCACGTACGGCTATTTGAGCAAAGGATGATAAGAGCAGTGCGAGCAAGGCGGCTGAGGCGCAGGAGCCCGTGACAAGTTCAATGCCTGGACTAGCAGAGGGTTTCACAGGAAACAAGAGCCACTACGTCCGGACGCTCGGCACCTTTTAATCAGAATCAGCTCCGTATGCGCCATCTGTCACTCACAGGTATGCATTGGTTGCAGACACACGAAGGCCTGTGGTGGCTTTCTGCACCTCACTCTGCATCTATGTACTTGCACGCAAGCGCGGGTGGGGCAGCACATTGACTTGCATACTCTTGGGAACGTCTACCAGACCAGGCGCGAACTTAATCCAACACTGGGTGGTGGAAGCAGGCCATCGCATCTTCTCTCTGCGATCAGTATCGATGCTAGATACATTATCTTCACACGCCCCAAATTGGCATCGCACGAGGCATATCGTACATGGCCTCAAGCATGCCCCAGTCTTACCACAATTGGGCGGCGCTGGTCGGCGACGGCTGAGCTATTGCAGATGAGATCACCTGCAAGGATGCATGCAATGGGCAGAAATTCGACCTTCGTTTTCAAATTGTCGTAACATGACATGAATCCGATTGGAACTGGCCGATCATTGTAGCCGCCGCGTCCCCGTCTCGCGCGCGTGTCCAGCCGCCTGCCCGTAAGCTTGATCGATCGCTTTCAGCCGCATTTTTGGCCGGCACCATGTGCGGGCTCACTAGTCACTTTATTACAACTAACCCACAGTGTCCAAATATCTGTGTATTTCATCAGTTTCGGGAAAACGAACTGCCAGAGCGCCGACGCCGTAGACAGCGAGGATGATGCTTTCGCTAGGGAGTACTGCGAACCAGCCGTGAGTGTGCCGGTTCAATGCAGCCGCTGCGCCCCACACGACCTCGGGAATATGCACTCTGTCAAGCACACAAGCACACAAGCACACAAGCACACAGACAACCGCGCTATCCTTAACCTGAAAAAAGCAAAACGAAGGATTGTCACCACCCGCTACTGCGACGTTTGAGGCCAAGAAAACGTATGCGCACATGCCACCCAGAAAGTTGGCAACTAAGCCACTTCCCTAGTCCGCAGGTCGCTCCACCAGCATCTTAGCTGTTAGCATGCCGCCATTTGACCACACAGGCTCGGGCCGGAATGCAACGGCCTCGGGTCGCTTGTCAAAAAACTATGTGGCGGTCGTTGCTCGGCGCTATATTACTGACAGGCTGATATGCGAAGCGTGGTGTGGACGTACGCTACGGTTTAGCTTCCACGCGTTACTCCACAACGTTTCTGATAGCGGCGGACTAGGCGGCTTGTCATGATGCACAATCTGCGACTACGACTTCGAGAAGCAACACCATCAAGTCCAAGCTTTCCAGTTGCCCGTTGCGTCGATTCTCCGGCATAGTACCCATCTTGACCTAGCAGGGGCCTCGGAAGCTAGCCGGCGTCCCTCGAAACCTATGCTATGGAGACCTAATCGGCTCGCTTCTCCGTTGCTCCATCAAGTACCCTTGCCTACTGTCCTCCAGTTTCAGATCCAGGGATAACACCCGGATTAGCTTGTCGGTATACAGGTTTCGTTGTGCCTCATCAACCATACTCTATGGAAGAATTTGGACATGCACCCGAGTGTATTATCCGCACACTCAGGATTTGGCCGCTTTCCGGGAATGAGTGGTGGACTGCAGATCTCACTGCTTGTGTACTAAACCTGTCGCTCTTTGCAAATTGTCTCTATCGATAGAACCTTCTACTGGCAACAACCGCGCCACGTTTGACTACGCTTCTTCAGTGAGCAGCACTGCCTTCCAACACTAGGCCAGAAGAATGACTCGGATGGAAGAGGCGGATACGAGGCTCGTTGCTGTTATTGCTCAGGAAATTGTGTGCACCGTACTCGTGGAAGTATGTCCTCCAAGCGGTCTGCAGTCTCTGCCATGATGAACGCCCTGCCGCAGTGCGTACAAGCCAAGCATCCAGCTGCAAGATACCCAAATTGTGCTCTTCGAAAACGCCACCAGCTTGATAGTAGGAGGCTCGATGGCTATCATATCTATGGTCTTACTGGCTCGCGTTTGCAACGATCCAGCACACATTGCATGTGCTCACGGAACCGACCATCTGGCATCTCTGATCTGGCGGTGAGAGCTTCACTCGTTGTGAATATTCGCAACATGCTGACATGATCTCCGTTACTCTACAAGCGGTGGATGCGCTGGCAACATCAGCGCGGTAGCAAACGATATCTTTGTACTCCTGCTCGTGATGAATTCTGCCTCACGGCCGAGGAACCACAAAGAAGCGCAATTCGAAAGCCAGGTCTAGACTTTGTCAAGGAGAATTCCCTAGTAGCCGCCGTTCCGACCTTAAACAACTACACGTGGGCGTCATGCAGCTAGAGATCTTATGCGCTAGAGGTCGGGCTGTCCAAGCTGAGAGCACTTGGAAGGCTTAGACTGTATCAAATACGGTTACAGTCAGTCATCTGTCAATCCGCCGACCAACAGCTTGCATATGTTTGGTAATCTGCGTCCTTCCAAGTGGTCGCTCAATGCAGCAGAGCCGCATTTCGCTCCACCGCCTTTGTTGCATGAAGTCGTCGTGGCAAGGATCAGCGGTGTTTGATGGATTTCAGTGGCGAGGGCTCACAGTGTTGGCCACGTGGGCGCATGGATTTAACCTTGGCAGGGCGTTTGCTCACTCTGTCGCGAGTGGAGCAATGCAAGCAGCCATACCAAGATGTCGTCGGACGAATAGGACGATGATTCGAGCCATCATAATGCCGTCTGCTCCAGCTGTCCAAACGATACTAGTCGACTCGCAGAGCCGCAAGATAATGAGTCACTCTCAGAGTCGGCTGACTTCGGCTTGCACAGGGTACGGGATACGGAGTACGGAAGGCTCACTACACTCCTCATCAACATAGCAGACAGTGATGTCATATTCACAGGAACAATCATCGGGCGCGTCTTTATCATTGATATTGCATTAAATTTCCATCTATGGACTCGAAAAATGCGCTTACGCGCCAAAAGACACTAATAGCGCTGCAGCGCATTGAAACGACAAACAGTGCCTCCGAATGAAAGGAAAGAGAAGACGCCGCAAGCAGCTATCTGCACCACCAGGGTGGGAGGAATCCCAGCCTCCGATCTGCACTACGACGCATTCATCGTCGCAGTCGATCATAGTGTCGCGGCTGGCGTGACTACTTCGTTCGCTTCTTAGGCTTTGCGTCTGGGATACGATGTTTCTTCCACTCGTGCTTACGGGTGGCATCCGCGCGTTTGTACGCCTTCTTACAGATGCGGCACGCTGTACCCACGACGATTGCCAAGGAACTATGGAAGGCGATGACATGCCTTCTCAAGTTACCTTTGCGGTACCTGTAGTCAAGTCAATACCCATGTAGGAGTGAGATATGGGGAGATAGAGCGTACCTGCCACTAAACATCTTGTCACATTGCCCACAATGTTCTGGCGGATAATCAGTCTCATCGGCTCTCAATCCCATGTCAACTTCAGGAGCTTGGTGGTCGTAGAGTTCAATGTATTTGCCCGGTGATGGCTGACACTCAGCGAAGTGTGGGGTGTATTGCGATGATCCTGGCATATTTGTGGATGAGTCCGTGTATTCAGCATCCCCATTTTCAGTCGCATCTTGTCCGCATATCCCACGATACTGCCATCCAAGGAGATTGCCGTACTCATAGATACCCAAGCGGA